TAATAAAATGCGAGGAAGTCTCGGCGGGAGCGGGGGTCCTGGCTGAGTTGTGAGGAAGTCTCAGGCGGGAGCCGTTTTTGTAATCCGGGGGCCAGGAGCCAATTTGAGCCTCAAGACTTTCCCTGATAAAAAAACAGGTTGCGAGCGTCGAGGGACACACTTTGATGGAGAAACAACCGTATGCACCGGTCGGGGGATTCAACAATAATTATTCTTCAGAACTGTTCAACAGCAACAACAACAGCAGCAGCAACAACAACAGCAACAGCAACAGCAACAGCAATAACAACAACAACAGTAGCAACAACAGCAGCAACAACAACACCAACACCAACACCAACACCACCACCACCACCACCACCACCACCACCACCACCACCACCACCAACAACAACAACAACAACAACAACAACACTAACAGCAACACCAACAACAACAATAACAACAACAACAAAAACAACAACAGCAACAACAACAACAACCACAACAACAACAACAACATCTCGTGGCGACTCCGAGCGCCCGACAGATCAAGTCGGGAAGCTCCCGCGCGGGTCTCATTCGTCCAGCTCAGAAAAGGCAGCGGACTGAGGAAACACTGCTGCCTCCCTTCGGCGCGGACAAGATCAGCAGCAGCGGGATGAGACCGAAGAGGGAACTCGGCTACGCGAGCGAAATGTCTCCAGACAGCGCGCGCTAGAGCGCCGACAAGAGCACAGGAGTGCGCGGGTCGCGTGGACGACGGTGCAGCAGCATGTCGCGAGCCTCTCTCGCAGCCCCCGGAAGCCCATGCTTGCGTCGCGCATGCCAGCCCGGCGGAGCCATGGCTTCGGGCAGACGGCTTCTAGTCGGCGCGAGCTCGCGGGGGATCTATAGGCAATGCCTGGATCGGCACAGCTGTTTTGAAAAATAGGGCGCCCAAGGACCCCCGAGGTCCCCTCTGCTGTATGAGAAGAACCAGGGCGGCAGGACCACTTATTTTAGCTCACCTCAGCTCCTCAGGGGCACCGACCACATGGGCGCCAGCGTAGATTATGAATCAAGTCCAGCCAAGCCACAGGCGCCAGAAACGATCGATGGCCGCCGCGGCCCCCGCCCGGCGGTCGCAGCGAGCGGCAGCGCGCGGGGCAACCTCCACGAACGCACCCAAGGTGGGAGCCCAGCGAGGGGCGTTGTAACGGGGGGGGCGCTGAATCCACTGAGACTCCAATGCATGAAGCTCTGCTATTCCTCAGAGGCAAAACCGAAATCGCCACGCACTACCAGAAGGCACGATTCGGGGGCCAACTGGTAGAGGACCCGACACTCTGAAATAGGAACGCACACCTCGCTTACTTACTCAGGGGGCACATCACGACCATGCATGCTCCAATGCATGAGTTGGGCGTGAAGTCTAGAGAACCAGAAGCGGATAACGCGGCCAGGGTCAGGTGCGGAATGAGAGGCAGAGGCGCCAGTGGAGGAAAAAGACCACGCGGGTCGTTTTGCAAACCTCCAGGGACAACCGTGGCAACCCCACCTTAGATGCAACCTGTGGCGTCGCCCCTGCAGAGGCTCGGAAAGATGACAGATTCTGACAAGATGTGCTTGAAAAGAAGGCGAAGCTGACCTCCACACTGGTGAATGTCCGGAAGCTCGGTGGCTGAAGGGCACAGTCTGAGACGCTGCAAGTAGGCGATCTCCTCACGCGCGTGAGCACCCTCGTTCTGCAACAACGCGCGACAACTGCACTTGGCGAAGCGAGCCCTCCTGTCAGAGAAGGATCGCTTGAGAAAGAGAAGCGGGAACGTGAGAAGAGGGCGGTGAAGTGGCAAAACGAAACACTCAGGCTCACGGCCGGGCATGAAGATCTCTTTGGCGGAGCCCAGGAGCCGCTGCTTCTCGACGCCGTACTTTTGGATGGCTCCATGGTTCCATAGCACGGCGGTAGGCTCACGGCCTAAGTACGCCTGGATGTTGCACAAAACATCCCAAACCCAATGATGTCCAACCACGACATCTGCCAAAGAAGATGCGCTGCTTGGGGCCGCACACCTTCTCATTTTCAGTGCGCAACTAGCCACTGGTGATATCCGCGTTGATCTGCTTCGAGCTCTTGCCAGCGAAATGTGTAACTAGGCTGTGCCGCCAGAGTAGGCACCCACAGTGGACTCTCTACACTGGCTGTTCTGGTGTAGAGAGCTGGTGGCGCGTTGACCATGACGCGATGCCAAGCCAACTGCTCCGAACAATCGATCCGTAAACAGTTGCGAGAGATGGTCTGTGCTGTCGGTCGGCCGCACGTCCTCGATCACGCTGGACCCCTGGGACCGTGTCTTCGGGCACAGCGGAAATCTCAACTTGGCCATGAATGATGTTTGAAGGATGTCGCACTCTTTCGTGGTGACGGTGGTGACCACCGAATCCACTTCTGACCTGACTTGCTGGAGTTGCCCAGCAACCACTATAGCACATCTGATGAGGACCTGCTGCTCATCCATCTCGGGGTCACTGCGTCCATGGCATGTTGCTCTGCATTGGGATCAAGCCAACGGATGGCCGGACCCGTACCAGCACGAGGACTAGGAGGAGCACCGCGGCTATCAGTGTTCTTCTTGCATTGGGGTCGCGCGGCGTCGAAGAGACAGCCGCTTCCGATCCATTGGCCGACATCAATGACACAAAATGAGAAAGATCGGCGAACGAGGGCTGAGGGAGGACGAGGAAGAGGAAGTGAAGAAGGAGAGGGAGGAGGAAAGGGAAGCGGAGTGAGGTGATCGGATGTGTTTGTCTGTCTTTGAGGCTTCATGCTTCGTTTCCGCTGCGAGAAGCCCGGCAGTTGCGGATAAGAGTGAGGTGGCATGGGGGGCCGCTGGCAGTCTGCAAAGCTCGCAAAGAAATTAGAAGAAGCCCGCCGCAGGCACCATTCATTTTAACCACATGTCAAAACAAACCCGCCGTAGGCGCTGAAAATTCGTCAATCCAAAATCTGGAACATTGTGGGTGGGTCGCGGCTGGGTCGCAGGTAGGCCGCGAGTGAGTCGTAGAGGGTCGCGGGAGGGACGCAAGCCAGTCGCGGGTGGATCACTGGACCAGTCGCGGATGAGTGGCGAGAGGGTCGCGGGCGAGAACGACGAACAACAGCAAGGAAAACGCACACACATACGCATACACGCACTCTGGCGCACGGGGCCCTGACGCAATTGAGAAAACACACAATGGTGCACTGATGCGCCCATCCACAGCAACAGCGCAACAGTGCAACACGCCTCAATTGCAGGGCGACGACAGCCATCGCGCCTCTCGAGTATCTTGTCATCCTGGGATACTCCTGCAGGGGAAGTGGCATGAGGACTCCTGGCGCCGATTTTCTTTACCAACAGCCGTTGTAAGAGCTGCCGTGGGACCTGGAATGAGATCTGAAATTCGACTTCGAGCAGGAGGTGTAGGGGGAACTACGGTAGGAACTGAACGATGAGCTTTCCACAGAACTGCGCGGGTAACTACACAACAGAATGAGGAATTGCAGTAGAATCTGATGTAGGAGCTGTGGCAGGAATTGTAATACGAACTGCAGAAGCAGCTGCAGTGTGAATTGTAAGATGAAGAAATGTAATAAGACCTGATCTGAAAAATGCAGAGGTAATGAAAGCTACAACGGGAAATGCAATAGGAGCTGAAACAAGAAATTGTGTTACTAGCGGTGACGGGAAAGAGAGTAGGGGCTGTAGTTGGAACTGTGATGGAAGCTTCAATGGGGACTGGAATAGGAATTGGAATAACAACTGTTATGGGAGCTGCAATGGGATCTGTAGTCGGACCTGCAGAAGGAACTGCACTGGAATCGCTCGTGGGAACGATAGTTGTAGTAGGAGACGAAGTGGAACTGCACCAGGAACTGAAGCGGCAGCTGTAGCGCGAAATGTGGCAGAAACTGGGATCAGGGAAAACGGCGGGAGGACGGGGACGAGGATAACACAGGTCACGGAAGCTGACGCCTTGTCGCCCGATCATGGAAATCATGAAAAATATTGAAACATTGGGGGCCCTACACCCTTATGAATTCCAGCGGAATGCCAGGATACCTGGGGGGGCAACAAATCATCCTGAGGGGGCCAGGTGGATCGTGTGGAATGCGGACTCCTGAAGATAAGACGGGATCCGTAAACCTGAAGATGACACATGAATCTGGAATAAGCATATGTTACCTGAAAATTTTACAAATTCCAAGGAGCCCGGAGATGTTGAGGAATCGGCTGGCGTCCTGGTGACGCCTGCGGGGTGCAGGGGGATCCTCGGGAGACCTGAGAAAGCCTGAAGAATCCTCAGGAATCCTACAAAATTTGTAAGCCTGAAGAACTTTGGGAGGCCTTGAGGAACCCGATGCAGTATGGGGGAATCATTCGGGATCCTGGCACATCCCTGGCGGTCATCTGCGATCCTGACGGTCCTGTCGGAATCTGGAACGGCAACAGACGGTTGCCCTCATACTGGTATGGGGAACTGGCCTGTGCACCAAAAGGCGCGATCTGGAAAACAAATCAACACCGCCAACGCGCTCAAGTCGTGCATGTCGTTGTCCATGATGGCGTGCCGCCCGCTCGCGGGCACACGCCCAATTTTTGGGGGGAGAGGACACAGCAATGCATCGAGAGAGCAGGAACGACGCGCGAGAGAAGCAAGAGGGAAGGCAGGGGGGCGGCAGGGTACTCGGTCACATCGGAGAGGGAAGTGAGAAGGAGGCGGAGGAGGACAGTAGATGGACAACATACTTACACACTCGAGGGATATTCTAAATCACCCCAGCGCCCACGACATCAATGTTGATCTCAGTAAAGGCGGTGCTTTGGGGTTCGAATAGTTCTGTCCAATCACGCCCCCCCCAGTCGCCACGCCTATCAATATTAAGTTCGGGGGGTCTGGGGGGCATCTTGGGCCACAGGGTTCGAATCTAATGTCTATGCACGGGAGGAGGAAGAGAACGAGGAGGAAGAGGAGTTCCCTGCAGCGGGCAGGGGGGCGCTCGGCTCCTCATAGGCCTGCCGTATCTCCTCGGCGTACGTCGGCCAGTCATCGGCCTCGGCGGACTCCTCGAACGGCGACGACTCCAGCTCCTGAGGAGGAAGCTGCTGGAGGCTTGGCAACAAAAACACTGAGTCGGGCGTGTCCCCCTACAGGAGGATTTTCGACGAAAACCGCGAAATACTAAACAAATGCTCCAAAATTGTCAAAAATACTAAAAATATCCCCAGACTATTTTTCTACCATTATTGAAGATTCCCCCTGTAGAGGGACAGGCCCGACCCAACACTGACACCAGCCAAGGCGCTGCCTCCACCAGGGCAAGACGATCCTAATGTTTGGTCTGGGTGGTGATTGTTCGGCCGAATCTTACCACCATCACCGAGATCGGGATCATCTTCCCCCCGTGGAAGCACACCGCCGACATTGGTGCTGTTGCGGACCTCTGGGCCTCCGATGCTGGGGAACTGGTGAGGGCTTTCTCCAACGCAGTCGCGCAGCCTACTCACGCTGGGGGCACGATATCGGCCCGCGAATGGCTGCGCGGTCGTACCCCCCTCTCCCCAGCCAATTCTTCTCCCCCCTATCCCCCTCCCTTACCCCGTTCCCCTCCCCCTCCCCCATATCCCAACCACCCGCCCTCCCCACCCCTCCACCATCTCTCCCCGCCCCTTGCACCACCCGACCTCCCCACTCCGCGTTGTCACCCTCCCTTCTCCCGCCTCCCTCCCCGCTCCTGTCTCCCCCTGGCACCCGCCCCCTCCCTCCCTGCAACCAACATACAAGTGAGCCCGGCCCAGCCGGAGACCGACAACTGTCCACTGGGGCACGGGCCCCCAGGCTGGACCCGTGGAGGCTTCAGCGGCGGGACGGGCCCACTACCGTGCGAGAGAGGAGGAAAGAGGCGTCATGAGGCCTCAGTGGCGCTGTTGACTTCCCCCTCTTATCCCAAGCGAATGGGCATCGGTGCGCAATGCTGGCGCACCGTAATACGGCAACTTCGCGTGGTGACGACTGCGGCGTGGATCTCTGACGCCGCGTGGATCCTTCAAACCTCGACAGTCGGCTGCTTCTCGATCGCAGCAATTGGACCACGCCAAAATCACGCCCTCAGAGTGCCTCGGGGGTCGTGGGACACGTAAAAATACATCAGATTCGCGTCCCCGAAATCATAACCCCTTGTAAAGTACGCCATGTTCGCTTCGCGACCCCGGGGCCACACACCCTACTAGATTACGCAAGTTGTGCGTCCCCGAGGCGACAAAAACATGTCAATAATGAGAGATTCGCGATCCCGAAGCCATAAACCCTCGCAACTCACGCCATATTCGCATTGCCGAGGCCAAGAGTGCTCCAAGGCACCCAAAGATGGTTCAAAGGCGTCCCAAGAGGGCCAAAGGAGGCCCCAAGAGCGCTCCAAGAGGCCTCCCGAGACAGCCCCAAGAGGTCAAAACCCTAATTTTGACGAATGTGTTGTAATGATTTGGGCCGTCTCCCATTTTCGGCTTTCCGACGCTCCAAGACGGCTCAAGAAGCTCCCAAGACCGCCCCAAGACAGCTCAAGACGCCTCCAAGAGGACCCCAAGACGGCCCAAGAGGGCTCCAAGATGGCCCAAGAAGCGCTCAAGACGGCCCAAGAGGGTCCCAAGACAGCCCCAAGAGGGGCCCAAGCAGGGAACCACAAACCGAACATTCGACATTCGTGCCCCGAGAAGCCCCCAGAAGGCCCCAAGAGGCTGTCAAGAGGCCCCAAGAGGCCCCAAGAGGCGCCCAAGACGCGCCCAAAAGGCCTCCAAGAGGTCGAAAGGATAACCCACGGGGCCCTAAGAGGCCCCCAAGAGGCGCCCAAACCGCCTCCCAGAGGCCCCCGAGACGCTCCCCACGACACCCCAACGCATATACAAGAGGCCTCAGACCCACAACCCAGGCACGGTGGCGGGATGGGCCGAAGGGCCACTGCTTGCCTCAGGGGTGTCTGGCGTGCTGGGTCCTTTCGATTTGGGTTTTGGTTTCTTTTCCAAAAGACTTCTCCCATGGGGCTCCGGCCCAGCCCGCCAGCCACCCGGAAGACTCGGTTGCAAAGAATTGTCCTGCTCCAGACGCCTCCAAGATGGCCCAAGCTGGCCTCCAAGATGCCTCCAAGATGGCCTCCAAGACGACCCAAGAGTGTCCAAGATACTTTCAAGTCCGCCCAAGAAGCCTCCAAGACGGCCCACGACTGCCCAAGAGGTGCCCAAGAGGGCTCCAAAACGGCCCAAGAGGCATCCGAGAGGTCCTCCAGGAGGGCCCGCAGAGGCTAAATTCATTGATTACCCTGCGGCTTTCCAAGGATTTCGGTATGTGCTCTTATTCTGCTTTCCGACGGCCCAAGACAGCCCAAGAGGCACCAAAGATCGCCCCCAGAGCGCCCAAGAGGCCTCAAGGATGGCCTCAGGACTACCAAAGAGGCCCCCTGACGGCCCCAAGGGGGCCTAACGACGGCCCAAGAGGCCTCTAAGACACCCAGAAAGCCTCCAAGACGGCCCTGGAGCACCCCAAGAGGGCCCCAAGTCGGCCCAGAGAGACCTTCAAGACGGCGTCCGACGGCGTCAGACGGGCGAGGAGCCCACCAAGACGGCCCAAGATGGCTCTAAGAGCCAAAGACGGCCCAAGAGGCTTCCAAGAGGCCCCCAGGAAGGCCCGAAGAGGCAAAAAGTAATCGATGTCCCTTAGGTTGCTGAAGGATGTTGGCATTTGCTTCTTTTCGGCCTTCTGACGGCCCGAGACGGCCCAAGAGCCCCCAAAGACCGCCCCAAGATCGCCCAGGAGGTTCAAGACGGCCCAAGAGGCCCCCAAGACGGACCCAAGAGGGTCCAAAGACTACCCAAGAGGCTTCCAACACACCCAAGAATGCCTCCAAGACGGCCCTGGAGCATTCCAAGAGGGCCCCAAGTCGGCCCAGAGAGGCCCCCCAAACAGCTTCCGACGGGCCACGAGCCCACCGAGACGGCCGAAGATGGCCCTGAGATGGCCCAAGAGGCCTCCAAGAGAGCCCCCAGGAAGGCCCGAAGAGGCCAAACTCATTGAATCTCCTTGGTTGTTTGAAGGATTTCGGCATTTACTTCTTTTCGGCCCACCGACGGCCCGAGACGGCCAGAGAGCCCCCAAAGATCGCCCCAAGATCGCCCAAGAGGCCTCAAGGATGGCCCCAGAACAGCCCAAGAGGCCCCCAAGACAGCCCCAAGAGGGACCCAAGACTGCCCAACGGCCTCCAAGACGCCCAAGATGGCCTCAAAGACGGCACTGTAGCAACCCAAGAGGGCCCCAAGTCGGCCCAGAGAGGTCCCCAAGACGGCTTCCGACGGCGTCAGACGGGACAGGAGCCCACCAAGACTGCCAAAGAGGCCCCCAAGAAGCCCCCTAAAGGCCTCCAAGAGGCCCAAGGAGGCCCCCAAGATGCCTCCAAGAGGCTCCCAGGAAGCTCCCAGGAGGCCCCAAGAGTGTCCCCACAGTCTCCCAAAATGCCCCCTCCTCCTCCTCCTCCTCCTCCTCCTCCTCCTCCTCCTCCTCCTCCTCCTCCTCCGTCTCCGCCTCCTCCTCCTCATCCACCTCCTCCTCCGCCTCCTCCTGATCTTCCCCGCCCTCCTCCCCCAAGTGCTCCCCGAAGGGGTTTCCACAACGGATGGGGGAACACATGGTCCGATAGCTTGGAGGAGTTCTTGCCACAACGCTCGGCCACATAGGCGATTCTAAAGGCAGGGGGCGGCCGTGATTCGCCGCAGGTGTCTTCGATAACGCCAACGTCTCAATATTCGCTGATGATTCCTAATTCGCCCCACATGATGTTCCAAGATGCGCCAAGACAACGCCGAGACGCACCGACGAGACTCTGAGATAACCGATTTTACAGGGGGCGACCCCCATACGGATAAGTACGGAGGAGACAAGAGGTAGGAGGGAGGTGGGAGGAAGAGATGAGAGAAGGACTCAGGACCGAGAAATGAGGATAGATACTACATTAACTCTGACATGTAACCCCGAGAATACATGCGGGCAGTCCTGACTGCCCCCACCCTACACCCCCCCCCACACACACACACACACACGCACACACAACCACACACACATCATCATCATCAGCATCAGCATCATCATCATCATCATCATCATCATCATCATCATCATCATAATCATCAGCATCATCATCATCATCATCATCATCATCAGCATCATCATCATCATCATCGTCATCATCATCATCATCATCGTCATCATCATCATCATCACCACCACCATCATCATCATCATCATCGTCGTCGTCGTCATCATCATAATCATCAGCATCATCATCATCAGCAACATCAGCATCCTCATCATCATCAGCATCATCATCAACAACAACGACAACGACAACGACAACGACAACGACCACAACAACAACAACGACAACAACAACAACAACAATCAGTTCAAGACTGTTCGCCCTTATCTGCTCGAGTGTCCAATAACGCCTATTTCCCAAACCCTCGATACCCGCCCTCTTCGTCTTCGATCGAACCCCTTTTGGGGGGTAGACCATTCTTCCCTGCAGGCCGGGCCCCCGCAAGCGGGAGGAGGAGGAGGAGGAGGAGGAGGAGGAGGACCCCCTGGTGGTGGTGGTTGAAAACAGGCCCATCACCAATGCCTGGAACCAGCGATGCGTCGCTGCACAGGCCCCCGCCGACGAGACCGCTCGCCCCTGGGCGGCCGCGCCCCGAGTGGGCGACTGAGTGGGCGACTGAGGGTTTTGCTCCCCCCCCACGAGAAGGCAAGCCACCCGCTGCCGCCTCCCCTTAAATCCCACACTGGGCTCATGTTGCTCCCATCGTACTCAAGAGCCACATCCCAGAAATAAATTCGAGCACCCGGGAAAGTGTCGAAACAGTGTCCAAACAGTGTCGAAACAGTGTCGAAACAGTGTCGAACGAGTGTCTTCCTGGGCCCGACCCGTCAAAACCCTTTGGTTTCGGTACTTCCCTGGTGCTCGAATTTATTTCTGGCGATTCAGGCTACAGCAACTTGGAACATCATAACACTGGGCTGAAACGCTGGGGCTGTAGACCCCCTGGGGGGCCATACAAGACGAAGCCAGGGGGCAGGATCGGACCGGGACAGGTCGAGGATCTCTGAGATCCAGTGGTCCTGGAGGACGTGCGGGGGGCCCCGCGGCCTGGACCGTCGCCCTGAGATCTCGGAGAGTAGCGTCGCTGGAACAGGAAACACTCGGTATGGGGGACTGCGCACTGTGACTCTCGTGTTGTTTGCCTTGGCCCCGGCAGCATGACGATGCCCAGAGGGGGGCAGGAAGCAGGAAGAGGGGGAGGAGGGGGAGGGGGCGGGGCCCTCACTGGGCCCCTTTTCCTCATGGCGAGCACGAGAAATATCGGCCCCTGGACCGTCGGGGCGCGCTCTGGGCCAGCACTCCGAGACGGAGCCCGGCCGCTGCGACGGGGAGCCTTCCCTCCCCGGGAGCACCCCGAGAGCACCCCGAGAGGACGGCCCCACGCAGCCCCCTCGAGATCCGCGCGCGGGGAGGCGCACGGCCCGAGGCCAGAGAAGAGGGCGTCCGGGGGGGGGGATCTCCACGTCCATGGAGTCGTGGAACCGGACGAGCATGAGGCTTGCCCGGAGGGCGTCCTCCAGGTCCGCCTGCTCCTCGGGAGGGCAGCCGGGGACCGCGCGAGCGCAGACGTGCTCGCGAAGTCCGCGCGGCTGTCTCGGATCGGCGCCGGGCTCCCCCTGCCCAGCTCCCTGGCGGCTGGAGCGCGCCAGGAGCGTCCGGGCAGGGCGGGGATATGTCCACAACCAGCGCACGGGAACTCGACCTCCGAAGACCTCGGCAGGCTACGGATATGGACATGCATCAGGAACAAGGAAAGGCGACACCAACACCAACAGGGCGAGGAGATGTGCGGAGGCAAGGGAGGTCAACCTGGTGGTGTGTGGTCCCCCCCTCTCGCTCGAGACATCCCCAGTCTCTCGCTCGGGGAGGCATCGTGGACCTCCTCGCTGGAGGTGGGCCCCCTGGTGGTGTTGGCATCGCTGCCCCTCCCTCCGATGCACGGGCCACGCATGGCCCGAACACCATCCCGCACCCACCGCCTGCCGATGTCTCCGAAGCTCGACCCCTCGGGTGGCGGCCGTGAACAGTCCGCGCCTCGGGGGCGTCCGAGGAGGGGCCGTCGCAGATCACGGCCCAGGGCACGTGCGAGGCCTGGGGGGGTCAGGAGGCAACTGCTGGGAGGCTTTCGTCGGAAAGACTCGAGAGGAGTAAGCCCCATGTGGGAGCTACTACGCCGGAAAAGGGCCTCGGATTCAGCGGGAGTAAGCCGGATTAAGCGGGATTAAGCGAGATCAAGCGGGATCAAGACGTATTAAGCCGGACTTCGGACCAATGCAAAATCAGAATTTGGCCTCCCAGGAGTTGAATCCCACGGGGGGGGCCTAAGAAGAGGGGAACCATGGAAACAAGAGGGGTATCATGGCCCCGGCCGTGATACATCCCCCTTGTATATTGCCACTGGGGAGCGGAAATTCTGATACCGCTACTCCCGGGATCGCTCACGGGGTGCCTTCGGGGCGAATCTGGCCGTGGCGACAGAGGAAGGGCAGCGGAATCCGTACCCCTCCTGGCCGCCCCCAAGAGCCCGGCGCAGGCCCAAGAAGTCAGCTCGGACCTCCTGGAGACTACGGTCGCGAACGTCTAGCTATTGTGTCGCCGTGGCGGCCCCGGCGACACGCTATGCCGTGCGAGCGGATAGCGTGTCGCGTCGCTCTGCAGGCGGGAGGCTCGGAATGGCCCTGCAGGTGGACGCCTGGGGACCAGCAAGTGGATAGCGTGCCGCTCCAACACGCGGTGTGCCAGAACCCGCGGAGCGACAAACTATCCCCTAAGATTCCCGACCGTACGCTCATGCCGATCTTCATCCTCTTCTCCGGGCTCCTGCCGCTCCCTCCGCTGCTCATCCGCCTGCCGCGGGGCGCGGAAGAAAGAGCGCGGAACATCGCCGCTGCGTTGCGCGCAGGGAGAGGCAGCAAGGCGTTCCTTGTCACCGAAGGCAACGCAGGCTGACACAGTCCGCCCGGCAGTGCAGCGCTGATAACAGGCACCTGCAGTAGCCCCAGACTCGGGCGGAGGGGGACAAGGAAGAAAGAGGGGGGTATGTGAATATACAGTCGGGCCCGTGGAGAAGGAACCATTTTCGTTGGGGAAGGGCTCAGTGTTCCTTAACTATTTTACAGCTTATCTGAGGTTATCATTAGGTCTTCGATGGGAAAGCAAAATTTTAACTTATGGAAAAGAAGGGGCTTCGTTCCTTGTTTGGGGTTCCTTCTGGCAGTGTTTCGACTGTATGTTGCTCCCCCAGGGGCCCGAAGGCGTCCACGTCCACCCCGCCTGTGGAGGCCCGCGAAAACCAACTCCTCGGGCGGTGATTACACGCAGAGGCTCCCGGCCTCGGAGACACAGGTCGTCGCGTGCGCAGGGAGGGGCAGCAGAGGCGCTGCGCCGCGGCGCTCCCCGCGCGGCCACCCCTTCCAGGGCCCTGCTGCGGCTCCAGGGCCTTCCGCCCTCCATCCCGCCCGCAGGGTGCTCGCGCACGTCCACCTGCCTGATTATGATCCTCCTCCTCCTCATCCTCCTCCTCCCCCTCCTCCTCCTCCTCCTTCCAGAATAAGATCAAAGAGTGCCCGAAGACGGCCCAAGAGGGAGCCACGAGGGAGGGCCCCCGGAGGGAAAACAGGAACTGGCATGTCGAGACTCCCTACTCCCCAAGATGACCCCCGAATCCGATGGCAGGCCTCCGAGAGGGCCCTAAGAAGCCTCCCGAGGCAGGAAGCCCACAAGAGGCCCCCGAGTGGCCTCAAGGAGGCCTCGGGAGGACTCCACGAGGCCCCCAAGAGCCCCTAGATCACTCCGACAGGCCCCCGGGAGGCATCCCGAGAGACCACTAAGTGCATCCAAGAGGCCTCTGGTCCGCGACCCAGGCACGGTAGCGGGATGGCCTGAAGGCCACCAAAAAGAAAGGACCCCGACCACTCCCAGCTACTCAGTACCTCTAGGTGTGTGTACATATACGTCCACAGGCAGACAGACAGACAGGCAGACAGGAAAACAGGCAGACAGGCAGACAGACAGACACACACACACACCCACACACACACAAAGACAGATCAGCACTCGTACATACCTACCGACATATCCATCGACCGGACTACATACATACACACATACATACATACACTCATACATACATGTATTCATACATACGCAATAATTGCATGGAGTTGTAAATACATAAATACATGTACACACACGTTGATGCATGCATTCATGCATACACACATACGCCCATAGTTCATATAACATACATACATACATGCATACATGCATACATTCATACATACACACATACACACATACATACATCCATCCATCCATACATACATACATACATACACACCTACACACCTGCACACACATACATACATACATACATACACGTGTACATATATGCCTGCACACATACCTGCATACACATACGCATGTATATATAATGTATATATACACATATACATATACGCATACCCGCATAGACACATACCCACATGCATACGCACACATACCGAACCTCTTACGCCTTACACACGCAAACACACATGCATGTACATAAGTATGCGTAGTTATATGTGTACACGTGCGTCTACATTTACATGCACCTATACACGTACATACATGCATGCAGCCAGCGGTTCTACATGTATACGTACACGCATACATACATACATGCATGCATACATACATACATTTTGTTTTGGTCGCGCATTCGCCACTGGTTAAGATCTCGCAGCTGTGCCAGGCAGCTGTGTTGAGGCGTTTACGCTGCGGGACCCCCCGTTTCACGTACCCACCTCGCGCTCCCAGGAGACGAACGGGAGCCCCAGGCCGAGGGGACGGTACGAACGGGGGGCCCGCCACCGAGGGAAAAGACTCCCCTGGGTGGCCGCCGCGGCCTCTCCAAAAAACTTGCTCGGGTGGTTGCGGGATGGCAGAGCAAGGAAGCTGCGAGGGCAACATCGGCGAGACAGCGGGACCCCCCAAGATACCCCAATGACCTGTTGTCATAAGTCTGGTCTTGTTTTGGTCGCGCATTCGCCACTGGTTAAGATCTCGCAGCTGTGCCAGACAGATGTGTTGAGGCGTTTACGCTGCGGGACCCCCCGTTTCACGTACCCACCTCGCGCTCCCAGGAGACGAACGGGAGCCCCAGGCCGAGGGGACGGTACGAACGGGGGGCCCGCCACCGAGGGAAAAGACTCCCCTGGGTGGCCGCCGCGGCCTCTCCATTCACACCTTCTCATTGGCTATAGCCGGAATTCAGTAACATTAAGCCAAGCTGCTCTAATATATCTCTCGAAAGTTGGCTCATCGAGACATCTACAAGGTCGGCGACAGCCTCCTCGATGCACACTCGTGCAGATATTACAACGCTCCACCTCCCTCGCTGCATTGTTCGCTCGAGGTTGGCGCCTAACAGGAAGTCATGACAGGCACCTCCTCGCCTGAAACTGCACCAGGACCAGCGTGCAGGAGGAATCGATGTAACGGCGAGGAGCGATCTCAGAATCTTCTGAAGCTGTGTGTATGAATATGGGCAAACATGATCTGACGGCTGCGCGCTGGACGCCGCAGCTCGCAGCAAATGCACAGCAATTGGCGCCCTGACCACGACGAACTGCACCTTGCCGGACCTGACGCCCATCTTTGTCTCTGAGAGCCGCAAAATGACTCCGCCTTCGGCGAACGTGATGTCCTCATAGGTGAGGTATCGCAACTCGCTGGTTCGAAGCATCGCGTCAAACGTGACGAGGACCAAAGCTGCCAACAAAGACTGGCCAGCCGCCAGCGCCGCGCCCGCAAGCCCGAGCGCCATCTCGGGGCTCGCCGGTTAGGCGCGGCTGATGGGCGCCAGCTTCTGCCACGTCTTGACCAGCGACCACGCAAACGGCAGGGCGGTGCGCAGCTCGGGGGCGAAGAAGAGGCAGCCTGCGAGCGCGTAGCGGCCCTGGCTGAGCGAGCCCTCGTTCGCCCACTGGTCCTCCACGTAGGCGCCCAAAGCGTGATCAGCCTCGGCAGAGCTAGTCAGCGGGAAGCCGCCCTCGATGGCGAAGGCGAGGAACTCCGCGACGGCGATGCGGTACTACCTCCTGAGCGTAACCGCGCTGACCCTGAGATCTGAGAGCCTCTGGGAGCCTCGCAGGTGCTGGAGTCTCTGGGCTTGCGGCGAGAGCCTTTTAGCTGCCAGACCTTTCGGGGCGGCGCGTCGGCGAGGTTGTCTTTCGACGCGATGTAGCCAAGCATGACGTAGCAGCCTGTCGCCTAGCATAAAGCTCCCCAGCGCTTGACGTGCGTCCGCAAGACTCTGCTGCTGCTGCGGCCCTTCGTGAGCACCGACGCGGCGACCTGGCTGTCGACGAGGTGCAGCATACGCCCGGGGCGGCCCTGCCCTGACCGCAGGCGCCACTTGATAGTGTTCACTGCCGCCTGGGTCTCTAGAGCGTTGATGCGCTTCCCGATTCCAGCGCGCCACCTGTAGCTCGATATCACCTTCCACGTCCAGACGTTGGGCCCCAGCGAAACGCGAGGCCACGCCCGGTGCCTGAATGGGAGGTGAACGTCCAGGCGCACGTCCGTGCCTCCCCGCTCGGCGATCGACAGGTAGTGCCTCACGAGCTGCTCCGCCTCGGACTGGTACTGGTAGTCGTCGCTCTGATGGTACACCGCGTTGTCGTTCCAAGGAGCCCTGCACCTTCCGATGTGGCATAGGGCTCGGGGCCCCCACAACCGCGGCTGGTACTCGTCAGCGACCAGGGCGTGCTGCAGCAGCCATGTCACGGCATAGATCGAGAAGCTGTTGCCGAGCAGGAAACAACGCGCGGTCTCAGAGCTCGAGCCAGACCCGTCCTTCACGGCACACTCAGTGTAGCCCCGATCGAACCCCAAGAGTACCTCTCTCCCCTCAGCTGACGGGGGACGGAGCTCCATGGTGGCCTCATGCTGGAGAAGGCAGGCGCGCTCGTAGAGGCCGACGTGATAACGATGATCGCCCTTTTTCCAGCGCGCCTTCGCCTCAGGACTGGCCCGAGCAATCCCAGCAGGACGAGTGGGCTGCAGCGAAGAGGGCCTAGCACACACGAGGGTCGGCACTGGCAGCACGCCACCGTTCCAGATCCAACCAGGGGTGACCCAGGGCAGCTCCACGCGCTCCGCGCCGTCGGCAGTGACCTCAATGAAGTGACCCTTGTTCTGGTAGCAGTAGCCCTCGCATGGCAGGAGCTGCCAGGACAACCAGTACAGCCGCGGTCTCCTGTTGGGAACCAGGCAGCTGCTGCAGAAACGGTAGGGCGTGACCTTGAGCTCGTGAGAGATGCGCTCGGCGTCCTCGAGCGGCATGGGGGAGACATTCTCGACGAGGGAGCGCACCTTGCCAGGGAACGCCTCGTTGAGCAAGTTGAGGATCCGAGGTATCTCGCTGAAAAGGGCGCTCTTCTCGCCCTCCAGCCCCCTCCTGCCGTGCATCAACCTCGACAGATCTTGGCAGGGGCTGCCCGCTCCACAGTACACGAAGTCGACGATGCCGCCAAAGAGCTGCACCAACCTGTCAATCTGCTCGACCCCTACGTCCTGGATGTTACCCCAGTCGACGAGGCCAGGCCACCTCTTCCTGATGGCCCTGCGTGCACAAGGATCCACCTCCGACGAAACGTAGCCTATGATCTTGGTGCGCAGCCTGGAAAGCGCCACGATCATGCCCCCGATCCCGTCGAAGAGCCCAACGACTAGAACAGCAGGCACCTCATCGCCAGCGGGCGGCGGCAGGCCAGGGTTCCTCGACTCCCAGGCCCGCCAGAGGGGCGCCTCGCCCAGCAGGGGCCGCCCTGCCATGAGATGCTGCCGGCCCCCCTATCCAGCAGTGGCGGCCGCCGTCAGCTTCGCGAGGGCCTCGTGGCAGAGCTTCAGCGATGTGCAGGCACCTCCTCCGTCTTCTGACGCGTCCGAGCAGGTGACCCTAGCGCCCACCTCCGCACGCAGGTCCGTGAAGGCGAGTGGGAGGAGGCCGATGCTGCAGAGGATCTCCTCGGTCATCTCAGAGTTGACCCAGCCAGAGTGGGTGCCGTCCGCGAACTTCCAGACCTCGTTCAGGATGCAGAAGAGCACGCGCCTAAACTCCAGCGCCCTGACCAGCTTTCCCAGAAGTACGAGCATGGTCTTCCAGAAACCCCAGTCCTCGGTCATCAGCAGGGCGCCGAGCAGCATCGTCTCGAACAGCTTCAAGAGCGGAACCGAGACTCGGCCCCGCAGGCCGTCCACAAGCACGCCCATCCTCTCGACCTTGACCTCGCCAAGGTGGGCCTTATGCTCGGCCCAGGCGACGCCGTTCCGCTGGTAAGATGACCTCTGCTGCTTCTGGTAGCTAGAGCCGACGCCAACCTCCTTCCTCGCGTTGTCGACGATCCTGGGGGCATCGAAGTCGTCAATGAAGAACTGGAACCATGCGCGGCACTTACCCACCTAAGCTATGGGAAGAGGCTTGTCTCTCCTCCACTCATCCTCATCAGGTAGGCCAGCTCCAGCAGGAGGAGGGCGCAGGCCTAGTCGTCTGTGCAGGTGTTGGATTGGCGTAACAGCCAGCAGCCAGCCCATCGGTACGACGGCTGAGCAGACGCGCGCGGTCTTCAGCTCAGGGCGCCCCACAAGTCGACCAGGAACCAGACCTTTGAGCGCGGTAAAGCTGCGCCAGGGGCGAGGGATCTTCCAGACAAAGAAGGCCCCCTGCTGGTCGTCACCCGACCAGAGCAGCACACGCTGGCCCTCCAGCACCACAGTGACCCAAGATGTAGAAGCTGTAAGCGTCGAGAGGTCCTGAGCCATGATCTTCATGTAGCTGTTGGTCGGCACCATGTTCATGATGAAGCGGCACTGTCTAACCTCTACAGTATCTGGGGTGCCCTTCTTCTCAACTGCAAAGGCCCCGTTGAGAACAGGCGTATCGTTCACCTGAACAAATGTGCTCGTCCTCGATGGCCTCCACGATAACGAGCGAGTACAGGTGGCCGACGATCTTGGCCCACTCGGCGGGCGAGTCCACCAACAGCCTCGCCTTAGGCACCTCGGGGGGCCACTGGGCACGCGGCAGCAAGGCTAACGCTGGCTCGTCCAGCCAGGCGAGCACCCCAGGACTGACGTGTACACGTGGGTCAAGTCGACCTGCAACGTCAGCAGCGGGCAAGCCAGGTCGAAGCTCTCCGAGACGAAGTGGCAGGGCGCGCGCGCCGCTGTCGACGTCGCATGCACTGGAGGCCCTGGTCGAGATCTCGCTCAGGAGGGGCAGCTGAACCACGCCCAGGTTACCCTCGAGAAAGTACGGGACGGCCTCCCGCATGACTCCAATGGCACTAACCTGAGCGGACGAGCAGTGCGAGTGGTGGCCCCACGCCTCCTCCCCGCACGAGCCCGCGTACTGGTAGTTCGTGAGCATCACCTGGGCGAAGACCCACATCTCTGCCGTCGCAGTCGCAGCAGAGGTTCGAGTAGACTCGGGCTCCAATCGATCGACGGTCGCCGCAGTCGGCTTCTGACATGTAAGCTTCCAGGCCCCAGCATTGGCCAAAGGTGGAGCAGCAAGGGGCAGTGCATCCCGAAACCTCTGCCCCTGCTGCTGCGGTGAATGCGCGCGACGAAGGAAACACCGACAAAACTTTCCAAGCCTTCCAGGATGAGTAAACATGGCCTCTATCAGCCACAGCACGAAGGTGAGCGGGGCCATGCCATCCTCAAGGGCCGTTGCAAGCTTGACCTTCCAGGTCCTCAAGTCAGTCATGCTCTTGAGCGTCCAGGGCCAGCTCGCTCCGCCGCTGGCCCTTGACGGATTAGCCTCGGAAACGATAAGCCCTTCCGAGTGGCTGCCCAAGGGGCGGCAGCCTTCTGGTTTGCAGCCTTGTCCTGCGTGCCCGCGCCCTCCAAGATGACCTTGCGAACGCCTCCTCCCGCAGGCGGCGTCTGCTTCTTCGGGGCGGAGCTCCGCATGATCTGAGCGAGGCGCTGCCGATGCTGGCCTTGCGTCTCGCTGTCCTTCTTCGGGTTCTGCAGCTTCAAGTCCTTGATCCTGGAGGGCCTGTCCGCATTCTGGGCTTGTGGAGGCTGGCGGCTCGCGCCCGCCACCTCTGCAGTGGGAGCCGCCCCCCGAAAAAAACCTGATCGCGAAGTGGGCCACCAAGCTCTCCTTCTCTGGGGTGGCCTGCAGGGGCACCTCCCGAACTTCCTGGAGCCATCCCCCGGCCGAGTCCCCAGCCCACGGGCTTGGGCTTGCCCACGAGCTCTGCGAGCTTCAACTCGCCGTACTCGATCTTTCTCAGGAGCTCCTCTTCCTCGATGTTGATGGCCGCCATGTCGGCGTCTGGGGGAATGAGCTCCAGCCACCTCGCGCTCCTCCAATGCTTGTCCTTGCAAGCACGCTGGCACGCCTTGAACCTCTGCATCAGCATGTCCATGGCCTCGAGGAGCCTGCCCTGGATCAAGAGGTCCAGGGACTCGGAGACGGCGCGCATCTCCCTGAACATGCCCTCGCCAATGCCCGAAACGGGGTGAGAGGCGAGAAAGATGTTCAGCAAAAACTTGTTGACTATGGCAGGGAGCTCCTCCTCAACCTCATGCATGCCCTTCGTGCTGAGAAACTGCTTCAGGTGCGTGAGATGGGCAGTCAACAACTTCCCTGGAGTGTCACGGGCCGTCCTCCTGAAAAACGCTCGAGAAGCAGCAAGGGTCCTCCCAGGCGTGAACTCCAGACCGTCGTTCACGCCGAAGCCCTCGATGCCACCTCCCTGCGACAGCGCTCCCAGCAGAGAGCGGAGCAGGTGTGCAGCGGATCCGCCTCCGTCGCCTCCCAAACCAGCAGCAGCTGCGCCGTCGCCGCCGCCAGCAGCACCCGCGTCTGAAGAGCCGCGCCCGGGGGCCTTCGCAGCTCTCTCGGCGAGGATCTCCTCCAAGGGCTTCCTCTTCGCGGGGGCCGCGGCGGCTCCAGCGCCTAGCGGCTCGCCGCCTGCGACGGCGCCGGCGCCGATGTCGCCCTTCAAGACGGCCAAGCGCTGGCGAAGGAGCGCCTGCATCTCGGCGTCGGGGCGGCGGGCAGCAGGCGCGCCAGCAGCAGCGGCAGCAGCGGCCTCCAGCGGGGTCTCGCCGCCAGCAGTCCCACGGGGTCGAACGCCTGCCGCAGGGAGCGCATCGGCCACAGGCGCTGCTGCAGCAGAAGCCCTGCCCCGCGAAGGCGTTCGCCCTCGTAGCCTCGCAGCGGGGCCAGCGGGCAGGGCAGCAGCTGCGGCGGGAGCGCGCCCGCCAGGGCCGGCAGCTAGCGCGTCCGCCTCCTCGATGACCTTGGCAATGAGCCCGAACTCGTCAGCTTCATCGCCGTCATCGGCCAGCGCCTCCAGGCCAGGCTCCGCCTCGTCATCCGGTTCGTACAGAGCGAGGATCCGAAAGACCGCCTGGCCTTGGCCCTCGTCCTCGTCGTCGTAGCAGACGACGTCGACGTAGTCTCCTGCGCGCAGGTGGCGACCCTCGCCAGCGTCCTCGCCAGCAGCGTCGCCAGCGGCCTCCGCCGCCTCCGCCATCTAGCCTGCAGGAGCGGGCGACGCCACCTCGCGCGATCGCGCACGTGCACCCTGAGTGCGCGAAAGGATATCAGAGCAAGGAAGCTGCGAGGGCAACATCGGCGAGACAGCGGGACCCCCCGAGATACCCCAATGACCTGTTGTCATACGTCTGATACATACATACATACATACAAACAAACATACATACATACATATAGGTACACATATACACGTGCACACGTGCACACATACTCGCATATGTATATATATATATACACATAAGTATGTACATACTCACATACGTAAATGCATACACGTGTACACATGTATACGAAACCATCATTCGTACGTACATACGTATGCACATACAACATGCATCTGTCAGTGAATCCATTCATGCATATGTACGCCACCATTATATACATACAGACATATGTACATGCATACATACATATTTATAAAGTTCTTAGCCGTGTAGCGCACGGCGGGACGCCAAGCTTCCAAAGAACAAGCTGGTCGGAGTTGTATCTGGTCGGAGTTGTCGGGCTGGTCTGGTTTGAGCCTGGTGCTGAAGCTTTAGCTAAAGCTTTACCTTAGGATTCGGGCGAGAGTGGTTTAGGGGAGGTCCCGGAATGCATTTTCAACGACGACGACCGAATTGCAGTTTTTTTTGCATTGCAGTTTATTTTGCATCTGGTCTGGCTGGTCTGGTTGGAGCCTTGTGCTGAAGCTTTAGCTTAGGATTCGGGCGAGAGTGGTTTAGGGGAGGTCCAGGGATGCATCTTCAACGACGACGACCGAAAAGCAGTTTTTTTTGCATTGCAGTTTTTTTGCATTGCAGTTTTTTTTGCATCTGGTCTGGCTGGTCTGGTTGGTCTGCTCTGAGCCTGGTGCTGAGGCTTTAGCTTAGAGTTCAGGCGAGAGTGGTTTAGGGGAGGTCCAGGGAGGCAGCGCCAACGACTCCGACCGAAAAGCAGTTTTTTTTGCATTGCAGTTTTTTTTGCATTGCAGTTTTTTTTGCATTGCAGTTTTTTTGGCATCTGGTCTGGCTGGTCTGGTTGGTCTGGTCTAAGCCTGGTGCTGAGGCTTTAGCTTAGGATTCAGGCGAGAGTGGTTTAGGGGAGGTCCAGGGAGGCAGCGCCAACGACTCCGACCGAACAGCAGTTTTTGTTTTTTTTGCATTGCAGTTTTTTTTGCATTGCAGTTTTTTTTGCATCTGGTCTGGCTGGTCTGGTTGGAGCCTTGTGCTGAAGCTTTAGCTTAGGATTCGGGCGAGAGTGGTTTAGGGGAGGTCCAGGGATGCATCTTCAACGACGACGACCGAAAAGCAGTTTTTTTTGCATTGCAGTTTTTTTTGCATTGCAGTTTTTTTTGTATCTGGTCTGGCTGGTCTGGTTGGTCTGCTCTGAGCCTGGTGCTGAGGCTTTAGCTTAGAGTTCAGGCGAGAGTGGTTTAGAGCTGTACTCCACACCGGCCCAGGTCGAGAAAAAACGCGGCCGCTCCTCGATCCTGGTCTTGTTACTCTGGTCGTGTTAGTCTGGTCTGGTCTGGCTGGTCTCGCGTCGACTGGTTGGTCGAGTAGTTCACCTCGTTGGTCTGGTTCGTCTGGTGTGGTACGTCCGATTGGTTCGGTTTGTCTGGTTCGGGTTGCTTTATCGGTCTGGTTCGCCAGGCTGGTCTAATCGGTCTGGCTGGTCTGGTCGGTCTGGTTGGTCTAGCTGGTCTGCTTGGTCTGGCTGTTTTTTTGCTCGTTGGTCTCGTTGGTCTAGCTGGTTTCGTCTGGTTGGTCTCATTGATTGGTCTGGCTGGTTGATTGGTCTGGCTGGTCTGGCTGGTCTGGTCTGCTCTGGATGGACTGGTTGGTCTGGCTGGTCTGGTCTGGTTTGGTCTGCCTGACCGGATCGACTGGTCAAGCTGGTCTGCTTGGTCTGGCTGGTATGTTTTTTCTCGTTGGTCTCGTTGGTCTGGTTGGTCTTGTCTGGTCTGCTCTGGCTGGTCTCGTTGGTCTGGTTGGTCTGTCGCGTTGGTCTGGCTGGTCGGGTTCGTCTGGGTGGTCTGGTCTGGTTGATTGGTCTGGCTGGTCTGGCTGGTCTGGTCTGCTCTGGATGGACTGGTTGGTCTGGCTGGTCTGGTCTGGTTTGGTCTGCCTGACCGGATCGACTGGCCAAGCTGGTCTGGTTGCTTGGTCTACTTGTTCTGCTGTCTGCTTAGTCTAGCTGGTGTGGTTGGTCTGGTTGGTCTGGCTGGTCTGCTTCGTTTGGTTGGTCTGGTTAGTCTGGCTGGTCTGGTCTTGTTGGTCTGGTTGGTTGGTCTGGCTGGTCCGGCCCGTCAAGCTGGTCTGGTTGGGGTTGGTCTGGCTGGTGTAGCTGGTCTAGCTGGTCTTGTCTGGCTGGTCTGTTTGGTCTGGCTGGTCTGGTCTGGTCTGTCTGGCCTGATCGGTTGGTCTACAGGTCTGGTCTCATTGATTGGTCTGCCTGGTCTGCTTGGTCTGGCTGGTCTGCTTCGTCTACTTCCTTTAATTGGTTTGGTTGGTTGGCCCGGTTAGTCTGGCGCGTTCGGTTCTGGCTGGTATGCTTGGTCTGGCTGGTCTGATTGGTCTGGTTGGTCTGGCTGGTCTGGTTCGTCTGGTTCGTCTGGTTCGTCAGGTTGGTTGGCCGGGTCGCGTCGCGCCGTCGTCCTCGTCCCCACCCTCGATTTTCTCGTCGTCGTCGTCGTGGTCAGCGTCGTCGTCGTCGTCGTCGACGTCGTCGTCGTCCTGCCATTTGCGTCGCCGCAACCGGGCGCGGGACCGAAAGCGCTGAAACGTCGAGCCCCACTGCGGCGGAATTGAGGTGGCGGAGAGGAACATCAGCAGCCATATCAGTTCTTATGCCCCAAAGCAAGGTAAGGCGCTGGGGCATAAGAACTTTGCGCCTCGAGCGGCTTAGAACATACAGAAGGCCAGACGTGTATGTACACATATATATATATGTGTATACATACATACATACATACATACATACATACATACATACAAACAAACAAACAAACAAACAAACAAACAAACACACACACATATCTATACACACTAGAACCATCGAGCGCGCTTCGCGCGCGCGCGTCGTCATCATCATCATCACCGACGCCGTTCAAAGCATCGTGATCCTCGTCATCACCACCATCATCATCAGCATCATCATCATCGTCAGCATCATCGTCGAAATCGACATCAGCATCAGCATCGTCATCAACACCCTCATCATTTCCACCATCATCGTCTTCATCATCACCATCGTCGTCGTCATAGTCACCATCGTCGTCATCATCACGGCGAGCGCTCTCTCGCGCGACTTCGTTCGCACTGCTATTGGAGCCCTCTGGGAGCCCTCCGCGGCCGCGCTGCAGGGCCCGAAGATGGTCTCGGAGGGGCTCCAGGAGGACCCGAAGAGGGCTCCCCGGGGCCCTCGAGAGCAGTGCTGTGGGAGCCCTCCGGGAGCCCTCCCAGGCCGCGCTGGGAGGCCCCAGGAAGGGCCGGGAAGGGCCGCCCGAGGGCCCGCGGAGCGCCCAGAGGGCCCCCGAGAGCATGGGAAGGTCAGTGGCGCGCGCGCTCTCTCGCGTGCGTGCCTCTCTCGCGCGGCTGCGTTGCCACTGCTGCTGAAGCCCTCGGGGGGCGCCCCCACGCCGCGGTGGAGGGGCCCAAGGCGGCCTCGAAGGCGCCTCAGGAAGGCCCGTTCTGGGGCCCAAGGCCTCGTGGGCCGTCTTGAGGCCCCCAGGGGCGGCATTGGCACCTTCGGGGGGGCGTCTGAGGCTGTCTTGGGGCGATCTTATGGCAGCTTGGGCAGTCTTAGACCATGGAGGTGCCGGAAAGGCAGAATGGTAAAAATTGCACAAAAGAAAACATTACAGAAGTCAACTGATTTAGTTTCTTGGGGCTATTGGGCCGCGCGGGCTATTGGGCCTATTGGGCCGCGCGGGCTGAAAGGTCGTCTTGAATGCCTATTGGGCCGCGCGGGCTCGGGGGACTCTTCGGGCCACTTAGGCGTCTATTGGGGGCCTCTTGAGAGCCTCTTGGGGGGCCTAAGAATACCCTCTTGGGGGCCTCTTCAGAGCCTCTTGGGGGCCTCCAGGGTGCTCTGGGGGCCACATTGGCGCCGAGAGCGATTAGAGTGCCGCTCGGGGAGCACTTGGGGGGCATCTTAGGGGCCTTCTCGGGCTCTCTTGGGGCGTCGTGGACGCCCCTTGTAGGGTTGTGGGCCGTCCTGGGGCCATCGTGAAGTCCTCTTGGAGCGTCTTGGGCCCGTGTTGGTTCTCTCCTGGAGCTTTGCTGAGCGATCTTGGAGGCGAAAAGGAGGCCTCCAAAACCACATCAGAGGCGAAAAGGCGAAATAGCCACAAGCATTGAAACACTGAAATTTCACACACTATTGCTAGCCCTCGGGGATGTCCTTGAAAGGCCCCGGGGCGACTTGAAAACCATCTTGAGACTTTCATTTGACGGATTTTGTCTCCCCGTGGGCACCCTGGGGCTGTCTTGGAGCCATCGTAGTCGGTCTTGGCCCGTCTTGGGGAGATCTTCGGGAACTATTCTGCCTTTTGCAGCCTTCTGGGGCCATCTTGGGCCGTCTTAGACGCCTGGGAGGGCTGTTCAGCAAAATGTACCCCGGACATGTTGCCTGTGTGCCTCGGGCCTGGCCGGGGGCCCGGGAACCGGAGATTCAACATCGCAAACGCATATCGAAGCCCTCTCTCAAACTATAAGCCAGCCCAAAATCATCTGCTTTGGGAGCCGTGCGCAAGCAAACCAACCAACACTGCAATCGACGACATGACCGACTCGAAAACACCATGCAGTAAAAGACGACCACAACCTGGATGAGAAAATCATGTGCGACTTGCTTTCCGACCCAGGGGTTACATTACCTGCCACGACCCGGACAGATTCGCCTGCACTTGGTTCAACAGCTTCACAAGACCTGCCTCCCGCCGAATGAAACATCTGTCTGCAGGGCAGCCGCGATTGTCTGGCTGTTGCGACATGCTTCATGGTAATCGCGGGGATCCGAAGGACAACGACGAACTGGGCAATTTGCATTGATTCCCACGGGACCCTTTGAGCATGTGCACTGCGTGTAACGTGCAGAAGAGTGGCGAAGGGAACAGAACAGCAGATACAGCGACATGGCCTCCTGCATGCGCCTCGACTCTTCAAGTACCTGTGGCCACGAGGCTCATGTTGCCCATGCCTTCTCTTGCAACCAATCCTGGACCGCTCCATGAGAACAGATGCACCAACGTCGCTCGCAGCCAGATGGCATAATCGACAAAAACTAGTTCGTTCCGCGATGTCCCTGGCCTCTGGCACACTGCCGAGACCACTCACGGGGACAAACCTCAAAACTGGCACATACTCCCTATTCCGCAAGAAAGTGGAGGAGGTCTGATTCGGGGGGGCCTAATTGAAGCTGTCTTGGAGGGTTCCGAGGGGGTTCAGGCCGCCCTTTCGTGGCTGGTCAGGATGGGTCTAAAACTGCTCGTCTGGGAGGGTTGTGACCCGCTCCCTATTTTTTATACTATTAGGTTTGGAGGAGCCCCCCCCCACCTTCCCCCGCACTAACAGATCCGCGGACCGAGACCGCTCATCCAACCCACTGCCTCTCTCCTGCGCCTGGCGCACCTCTCAGCTGGCATGCTTGTCACGACGGAGAAGGGACCCGAACGGGAGCAGATGCGACTTGTTCGCGCCGCGATGTCGCGGGCGTAGGTCTCTGACTTGGCACGACGGAGACGGGAACAAATGCAGCTGGTTCGCGCGCTGTCGCGGGCGTTGGTCTCTGACGCCGCGCGGATCGTTCAACCTTAACCTTGACCGAACGCGGCTCTCCGATGGGCGCAGATCGCGCGACATCGGCAAATTCTGGGCCACTGGCGGCGGGGTCGCCACCGCGTCGACACGACGATGCGAATCTACCGTGCGGGACTCTGGGGATTCTTCTGGGTACCGCGTCTCATCCTGCGTAGATTCTTGAAGGCCCCTGGGCCTGGGAACAAGCCCGGAGGGCCCGAGAAGACTGACTAGACCCAAGATCTCTGTGCTGCTTGGCGATCCCCCTGAAGACGAAACCAGGATGAAGAGAAATCCGGGTGAATCTCCAAGATCAAACGGCTCCAGAGCATGCGTCGGGCGCCTTCCCAGAACATTCCAAATCGGGAACGCTCTGGAACGGACTTGTCCTCTTCGTAGCCCCGTCCGGTCATGGCGATCCCCTAGGACCACAGGTCACATCTGCATCTGGACCTGCCCAAAAATTCGTTTTGGCCAGAATTTCGAAGCGGGTCCATCCGTGGCGATGAGGCGGCCCGGGAACTCTACAGAACCGCTCAAACAACCTCAATCTTCGAACATCGATTACCGATTCATTCTGCATGGCGATCGGTATCATCCCGTGCGCTCCGCCAGACGTCGCCTCGAGCCGAGCCCACCCATGCCTGGCAGTGCAGGCACCTCGCGGGGTATGCCACTGTCGTCTTCGTCGTTTTCCACGTCGGCCTGTCGGGAGCCGAGAAAAGCGCGTGGACAATGATCGCTCGCAACTACGAAAGGACACAAAAAGGCAAGAGGAATCCCGCATCACCTGAAATCACCATCACACTCGCTACGCGAGACCAACAACAAACAGTTAAACATCGTCGTGCTCTCCGAACCTGGGGGGACGACGTTTCACTCTTTCTCCTGGACAGGAAACGCTGCTCAAGGCGCGCCCACAAACACCGATAGCATTCAACACCTCAATGCTCGACGACGGCGACGAAGGCAGACCATGACCAACGACGAACGACAGCGATCCGTCGGAGGTCCCGAGACGGTCGAGTGATCACACCGTCGGGTGAAGCGAATGCGATTCGGAGTCAACTGACCGACGTGGGATTTAGGTCTCGCCTGTCCCCCAAACAAAAAGGTACAAACAGGAGGGTTAACGCATCATGGCCCGAAGCATTTGCACGGACGGCGGTGGGGCAAGGGGACATGCTTAAAGGAGAGGATGCGGCCAGTGAGGCCTTGGAGAACTCATGGACCCAACCATGATACGTGTGCCAAACAGCTCCACATCACTGGCACATGCAAAATATAATGCGCGGACATGGGCTTACTATTAAGCACATGTCCGCGCACCCTTTAGTTTAGGACTGACTATACCCACTGTCTCGGGCACCCCTGGTCCTGTCCGTCTCCAGGGTTTCGGCGTGTGGTTTCGGGGGAGAGAACAACAAACTCTGCTCCTTTTGTTCGTGACATTGCGGCCTCCAGGCTGATGCATTGGTGGCCATTCGCCAGCTTCCCCCGAACGGATGCTAACCGCGGCCCAGGGGTTAAGCCACCAAACCGTTGCTGTTAGACGCTCATGGACACTTCAACTCGAGATGCGCATCCTGGCCCCCAAGGCCGTCGGGGCAAATCTACCGGACACGTACTCGGACACGACAACAAACGACAACGTGGTGTGGACGCTGAGCCCCCGCACCGAAGTCGAGCTGTGGCGAAACTGTCGGCGGATAGCCAATTATATGCCAACATATCCACAAAACTGGAAGACACGAGAAATAAGAAACCCCAGCGTTAAAACCCTTGTCGCGCACCTCTAGGTCCAGGACTGAGTATGCCCACATTCTCGGGCAACCTGGTCTGGTCCGTCTCCAGCGTTTCGGCGTGCGCCTCAATATCCCCTTGAAGACCTGCCATAATCAACCAAACGGGGCAGGCCGACGTTGTCACGAAGGACAACTCCATTTCACACTGTGTACAATACCCAAATAGCCATAAGATGTCAAGCGGGCTCAGTGCGATGAGCGCAGGCAGTTGGACTGCCTGGTTCAACCTAGAGCCTGGCACTTTTGGCACTCGGAGAAAATAGGTAACAACTGTGATATCCAAACACCCCTAGGCCTTACGCCCCTCTCTCGTGGAGTTTCCTGGGGGCTGATCTCCGAAGATATCTCGAGCGCCTCAGCTATGAAGGGGAACTGTAGGGGAAAGCCACTTTGGGGGAAGCAGCATCGACCTGGAATCGACGATACATCGCCGATCACTCGGTGACAGGCACCCGATAGCGAATGCGCGCGTTCCTGGTTGGGGCGGGTTAACCAACTGCCCGTGGTTTTCATCCTCATGGGATAATGAATTTCGGGGTCAATGGCGGGAAAACGCTTTTCCGAAATATCGCAGCATAGTGATGAAGATGGCGATGATGATGGTAAAAATGCCGCTGGACGCCACCTACTACTCCTGAAGAACCCCCCTATTCAGATTCATTAAGGAATCCATTGGATTCCTCAGGCCGCTCTTAGGACTCTTGTGGAAGTCGGTAGATTCCATGAGGACATCCTGGAACTTTCTTCGGACATCAAACAGGATACCTTTAGACGTCCATAGAATTTCATCGGCAAGCCCAACAAGGAAATCCTAACAATTTCCTCGCATAAGCATAAGATGTTGTATGAAAGCCATGGGCGTCCTTCAGAAATCAACAGGGTTCCTTTCTGGAAATCCAAAACATGTTTTAGGACAACATCCATAGGTAGGGTTCCTGAAGCAACCCGTCGAATTCCTGGGGGGAGCCCATAGGATGCCTTACGAAATCCATGAAAATCCGTTGGGACATATATCACATCCCACGGTAATCCATGGGATTCCTTAGGACATCCATACGATCCCATAGGGAACGCATAGGATTTCTTCCGGAGTCTATAAGGCCCCCCATGCCAGCCATGGGAATCCACAGGACATCCTTAGGATGCCTTAGGAAACCCATCGGGTTCTATATGGCACGCACAAGATCCTTAAGGAATACCATAGGGTCCCCCAAAGCATGCACATGATGCCTTGGGAAAACCATAAGATTCCTTTCGGCATCCATAAGACTCCTCAGGATATCCATCGGCTTCCTTCGGGCATCCAAAGGATTTCCTTGGGACGCCATCGGGTTCTGTAGGACATATAGATATGGATCCTTCGGGAATTCCCCGGATTCCTTAAGACGGCCATTGGACCCCTTCGAACATCAATATAATTCCTTCGGACATCATCAGGATGCGGCTCCGCGCGCAGGAGCCATTCGCATGCAGATCGTGGTGGCTGCGGCGGCGTTCCGTGCTGTGGCTGACGCCCTCTCCGTCCTCGAGTCGCAGAAGGTGCAGGTGCTAGCAGTCAGCACGGATGATGAAGTCAAGGGTCTCGCTCTCTTCCAGCGCCAGTCCGAGGAGGTCTGCGCTGAACAAGGGCGAGGAACAGATCGAGGAGTGCAAGGCGGTCCTCGAGCCGCGGGTGCGTGGCGCCATCACCCCTGAGGTTCCGCCTTCGCTCGCCAGTGCGAAAGCAGGCGGCGCAGGTGCGGGCACCGCAGGGGTCATCACGGGCATCGGCAAGGAGCAGTTCGAGGAGCTCTTGGGAGCGGTCCTCCCGTTCCTCGGCGGCCCGTGTAGAGCTCAAGGCATCGGCAAGGAGCCGATCGAGGAGCCTTCTGGCGGGGGCTTCCCCCCCCATCTCGGAGGCCACCCTTGCGGAGATCAGAGCGAAGTTCCGGGCAATTGGGGTGAGTGCCCGCATGGCGAGGATGGCGCAGAATCAGCTGCCACCGCCCCCTTTGCCATCGCTGCAGCAGCAGACGAGGCTGGCAAGGGAGAAGCAGGTGGCACAGCAGGAATGAGGGCCGGCCAAGGCGATGCCACCTCTGAAGCTCTCGGAGCAGCAGGTGATTCGGCGGGCAGGCACGTCGGCACAGAAGGGGCCATCGGCGGAGCAGCTCCACCTGCACCGCAGGCTGGGTGTCATCAGCAAGCGGCAGGAGGAGATAGCTCAAGCATTGGGGCTGGCTCCAGTGCGCTCGGCCTCACCGACCCCGCCGCCGCCGCCTCCGAGTTTGCCTCCCTGGAGGCAGGCTGTGGCGGAAACGGCGCCGACGCCGCCGGCGGGGACCCTCCAGAAGAGGCGCTGGCGCCAAAGCAGGGCGTGGAAGAAGGAGCAGCAGGCACTGGTGCAGACGGCGGCTCCGCCCCCACCCTGGAGTGCCTGAGCGTCGCAATGGACAAGCAAAAGGTCTCCACGGACGACGAAGCGGGCCCGCCTGCCGTGCTGGCTGCTGCCAAGGCGGCGCGCAACCACGAGAAGCGGTTGAGGAAGAAGGAGCGCAAGGAGATGGTGCTGCAGCGGGATCTCTACAGGCCTGGTTGGCACCACGTGAAGGAGGCGGAGCTGGTGGCTCCTGATCCTGAGGCCCAGAGGCGTGGCCTCCTTTGGGTTCAGGAGCAGCTCGAGCTGCGCCTGCGGGATGACCTCGCGGGAGCGGTCGTCGACGACGACCTGCAGGGGGCCTGAGCCAGGATGCTAGCTCCAGTTCCTGATTGAGGCCTCTGCTAAGGTCGATGTTCGGCGCGCTTCAGGTGAGCTGTCGCTGCTAGGCGGCAGTGTACTGAGGCTCGGCCCACGGGGGCCCTAGCGTTTCGGCGCTTTCAGGGTCCTGGCTTGCCGCTGCAGTTCTGTCTTCTCTGCCCAAAGCAGCAGTGATGGGACGATTGCGGGGCAGGCCCGCATGCATGCTCTCTCTCTCTCTCTCGCTATTCTTGAATTGTTGTTGCCTTGAGCATATTCCGGTAAAACATGCTCAAGATCCATTAGGGCATCCATTGCGACTCCTTAGGACACCTACGGGCATCCACCGGGGTCCTCAGGAAATCCTAAAGATGCCTTCGGACATCATAGGGTTCCCTATGACGTCCATCGGATTCCTTTGGGAATACAACGGTTCCCTTGGGAAACCAATGGACGTCCGTAGGCCATGCATAGGATTGACTTGACAATCCTTGGGGGCCCTTAGGACAAGCATCGGATACCTTTACACAGCCATTGGGTCCCCCAGAAAATCGATCGGAATCCGTCGGGGACCCATGGGGTTCCAAAGGGATGCCATAGGATGCGTAGGAGCCCCAGAAATTCACAGGAGGAGGGGGGAGGACGAACCACAGGACCAGCTTTCAAAACAAATGATTCGGGTTCTGAAGTCTGTTCTGTGGTCTCGCCTTAGCGCCGCGCGCATTTGCTATAAAAAGTTCACGAGTTTCACGGATTGAACAGGGGCTCGCTTTCAAACTGTAGTTTTCGCCGTAGCGCCGCGCACATATTGTGTTGTAAAAACGTGCGCAAGCTTCACGGATTGAAGGCGGCTCGCTGTTTTGATTTAGCTTTCGCTTTAGCGCCGCGCACATTCGCTAGAAAAGTTTGCGCGAGCCTTACGGATTGAGGGCGGCTCGGTTTCATGATATAGCTCTCGCCTTAGCGCCGCGCGCATAAGATTTGTTCAAGCCGTGCACGAGTTCCACGGATTGAAGGCGGCTCGTTTTCAAATCTAGCTTTCGCCATAGTGCCGCGCGCACTCGCGCATAAAAAAGTTGCACGAGATCCACGGATTGAGGGCGGCTCGGGTTCAAAATGTAGCTCTCGCCTGAGCGCCACGCACATGCGTTATAGAAAATGTACGAACTTCAAATGGCAGATTCACAATGCGGTGGCCCGTGGCCTCGCCAGCTGAATTGAGCTCACTGCGAACTGGCCTCGCCGCTCAGCGCGCGCGTGCTGCGATCGCAAGAATAATAATAGCAGCCGGAAACACAATAGTCGCACTTGCAAAGGAGTTAATGAAAATAGCAGTGGCATTTTGTAGCCACAGCACTCTGGTTTCTCCCCCCCCGCCCCCGCCCGGTGCGGATCCTATGGCAATCCTTGGCGAGGGTTTGATGTCCGTCGACTGTCCTGAAGAGTGGCCCGCCCCAAGGTATCGCCCCCGCCCCGCATGAAACGTTATCTTAACACCGCGGTGCGGCGAAAATCAATGTGCCCCGCCCGCGAGTAGTCGTAGTAGTGCTAGTGCGACTGAGCGTGTACATGCATGTGGCTACGTATTGGGGTAAGGTGAGAATACGTGGAATAGTTAACGTACGGGTGCGAATAATTACTAGTAGTAACACAACTAGTAGTAATAGCGATAGTACTCGTAATATTACTGCTGATACGAATTAGTAATACGATTAAGAAAGGACCGTCACGGCCGTAATAGAACGCAAAAGCAGGAATCATGCTAAGAGTAAGACTAGTACGTGGGAGATTACTGCTGTTACTTTGTGGCAGTAGTGATACTTCGAGGCGGGGTTCAGCCTTTTTTTCTTTTCCCCACACCGTCGCCGCTCTACTTCCCGCGACAGACACGTTACACGAAAAGCACGTCGCACAGACGAAGCGTTGCACGAATTGAAAAATTTGAGCGGGGACTCGAATCCAACGTCCTTGCTCTTCCTACCCGCCGCCACCGCCTTACGCGATTCCGCGTGTAATCCGTAAAGCGATATTGGTTTCCGTCGGCTGTCCTGGATGGGGGGGGGCATCCCAGGGAATCGCACCCGCCCCGAACTGACCATTATCTGAGCACCGCAGAACGTTGCAAAAAAGTCCCGCCCGCGAGTTCTGGCAGTAGTCGAAGTAGTATGACTAGTGGTAGGAGCTGTACCAGTAGTAGTAGCAGTAATAGTAATAGTATCGGTGGTACTAACAGTGGTCGTGGTTGTAGTAGTAGTAGTAGTAGTCGTCGTCGTCGTCGTCGTCGTCGTCGTCGCCGTAGTAGTGGTACTAGTAGTAGTAGTAGTAGTAGTAGTAGTAGTAGTAGTCGTCGTCGTCGTCGTCGTCGTCGTCGTCGTCGTCGTCGTCGTCGTCGTCGTCGTCGTCGTCGTCGTCGTCGTCGTCGTCGTCGTGGTAGTAGTAGTAGTAGTAGTAGTAGTAGTAGTAGTAGTGTAGTAGTAGTCGTAGTAGTAGTAGTAGTAGTAGTAGTAGTAGTATCAGTAGTAGTAGTAGTAAAAATACTGAGAGTAGTACTACTACGAGTAAGAATCGAGTAGTCGTCGACAGCGTCGTAGTAGTACTAATCATACTCGTAGTAGTCGTAGAAGTAGAAGTAGAAGTAGAAGTAGTGGTAGTAGTCGTAGTAGTAGTAGTAGTAGTCGTAGTCGTAGTAGTAGTAGTAGTAGTAGTAGTAGTAGTAGTAGTAGTAGTAGTAATAGTAGTAGTAGTGGTAGTGGTAGTAGTAGAAAAATTAGTAGTAGTAGTAGTAGTAATAGAAGTAGTAGTAGTAGTAGTAGTAGTAGTAGTCGTCGTAATACTAGTAGTGCTAGTAGTAGTCGTCGTAGTCGAAGTGGAGCTGCCAATAAGAACAATACTGATAGTAGCCAAAATGTCGTAGTACTAGTACAAAGACTAGTACCAATATGCAGCATAAAATACCACTCGCATTACCAATGACAGTAACAGTAGTCGTAGTACAACGTGAGAAAAGTAGTAGCAGTAGCAGCAATAGAAGTAGGAGTAAAACTAGTCGTCGTAATAGCAACAGCGGCGGCAGTCATAATAGTAGTGGGAATACGGATAATAATACTGAGTGGTAGCAGTAGTCGTACTATCACTGAATCGCAAGTGCAGAAGCACTGTAGCAGCCGTGCGACGCGAAAGTATTTCATACTACTACTACTGCTTGGGTGTAGTAGTACAAGTACGAGTACTCACCAATAGTCGCAGAAGTCGTAAATAATGAGTGATAAGTACTGCATAATCGTAGTGCTAGTACTTACTGTAGTAGTAGTAGTAGTAGTAGTAGCAGTAGTAGTAGTAGTAGTAGTAGGAGTAGTAAGAGTAGTAGTAGTAGCAGTAGTAGCAACAGTAGTCGTAGTAGTAGTAGTAGTAGTAGTAGTAGTAGTAGTAGCCGTAGTAGCAGTAGTAGTCGTAGTAGCAGCAGCAGCAGTAGTAGTAGTAGTAGTAGTAGTAGTCGTAGTAGTAGTAGTAGTAGTAGTAGTAGTAGTAGTAGTAGTAGTAAGAGTAGTAGTAGTAGTAGTAGTTGTGTAGTAGTAATAGTGGCAGTAAAAGTAATAGTTGTAGCTCTAGTAGTAGTAGTAGTAGTAGTAGTAGTAGAATAGTAGTAGTAGTAGTAGTAGTAGTAGTAGTAGTAGTAGTAGTAGTAGTAGTAGTAATAGTAGTAGTAGTAATAGTAGTAGTAGTAGTAGTAGTAGTAAAAGTAGTAGTAGTAGTAGTAGTAATGGTGTTAGTAGTCGTCGTAGTCGCCGTGGAAGTAGTAGTAGTCATAGTAGTGCTCGTACTCAGTAGTACGTAGTACTGGTAATCTTAATGAAAAAATGCCGGCCCTCAGTCCGTGAAACTTGAGTCAGTGTTTGAAAATAATGCGCGCGGCGCCAAGGCGAGAGCCATGTGTTGAAAAAGAGACCCCCGCCATCCGTAAAACTCTTGCAACACTTTTTACACGAATGTGCGCGGCGCCAAGGCGTGAGCTACATTTTGAAAACGAGCCGCCCTCAATACGTGAAACTTTTGCAAGTTGGTCGAAACGGATGTGCACGGCGGTGATGCGAGAACCACATTTTGAAAACGAGCCGCCCTAAATCCGTGAAGCTCTTGCAAGTGTTTTAAACGAATGTACGCGGCGCTGGGACGAAAGCTGCATTTTGAAAGCGAGCCGCCCTCAATATGTGAAAGTCTTGCAACGCTTTCAACACGAAGATGCGCGGCGCTGATGCGAGAACCACGTTGTGAAAACTACCCGCCAGAAACCAGCAAAACTCTTGCAAAATGTTTAAACGAATGTGCGCGGCGATGCGGCGAGATCCACATTTTAAAAATGAGCCGCCCTCAATCCGTAAAGCTCTTGCAAAGGTTTGTAACGAATGTGCGCGGCGCTAAGGCCAAGGCCACAAACTGCCCTCAATCCCCGATTCTGTCGCAATGTTTTGAAACGAATGCGCGCGGCGCTACGGCTAGAGCCACATCATCCTTCTGGTGCGGGAATAACGCTTCCCGGTGTGGGAAGCGTTATCCTTTTGCTGGGAAGAGGGGTTCTTAAATACTTCTTAGGGTTTCCTCCCAAGCATCTGGATTCGCTCTGACCGGGACCTCGAGGCGGATCTGGCCGCGGCGACGAGGAGCCCAAGGAGGCCCAGAAAGGGGCGAACAAAGCGCCCTTAGCAAGACACCTCCGCAGACACCTCTGGCGCTCCGACCTTTTCTCATGCGTGGCCCCCCGAAGGCCTGGAAAACTAAACCCATCGGGCGGCAAAAAACCAACCGTTCCATTTCTGCTCGGAACCTCGGGTCTCTAAATCGACCCCCGATCCGAGAAACGACACCGGGGTCGGAGGATCGCGCCGCATCGCCAAAGCATCGCCGATGTATCGCCGATGCATCAGCGACGTCGGCGACACGTCGGCGATGTCGGCGTGGGAAAACACGGGATCCACATGGAGCCGCAGCGTCGATGCATCGGCGATGCGGCGCGACCCTTCGACCCCATCTACTCGGACCCCATCCAGGGGGCCTAACAGCTGAAGGGGGGGGCGTGTGGCGGGTGCAAGGCGGGCCAGGAGCGCACAAGGGCGAAAGGGTGCTCCCTCCTCGGGCGGGCGGGCGCTGAGGGCCTCTCGGGCAGCTCCTCCGCCCGCGCCCGCGAGCGGCCTGCCAGGGGCGGGCGGCAGTGGGACGGGCCGAGGGGGGGGTGAGGCAGAGGGCGGCCGTCGGTCACGAGCGGCGAACGTACGACCAGACGCAGACGCAAATGCGCGAGTCCGCCCGCCAGCGGGCCGGCCGGCGGGCCGGCGGGCCCCTTAGGGGCGGCGCGGGCGGGCCGGAGCCCTTTGGAGCAGGAGCTTTTGGATAGCGTGCCGTGGCGGCGGCCCCGGCGACACGCCGTGCTCTTGAAAGCGGACAGCGCGTCGCGTGGCTCCGCTCCGCGAGGCGGGAGGAAAAGAAGAGCTCGAGACGTTGACGCTGGGCGGCCGGGACTTGGATAGCGTGTCACGTCAAAGCGCGGTGGGCCAGAACCAGCGATTCGACACACAATCCAAAAATCCCAAGCTGTATCCGCATTTATGTCCGCGCCCTCGCGGTCTGGATTCAGGGGCGCGATCCCACGGATACGCTGTCGTACGGATAGGCTCCGCGCGGGGCATCCGCGAGCAAACGACCCGTATCCGCTGAGTCGCAGGGCCCGGCCCGCGAGGCCGCGGACACAGATGTGTGTGTGTGTGTTCGCCCATGAGTCGGAGCGGCCGCTCGTGTCAGGCATGCTCCGAAGTTCTAAGGAAGAAGAAGAAGAAGAAGGGGGAGATAACAAGAACAATAATAATAAAAATAAGAAGAAGCACATGCTGAATCAGCGTGAATTCTCTGAGGCCCGCGCGGATTCTTGCATCGGCTCGGCGCTAACCCCCTTCCTGGCGCGCCGAGCGCGCCAGGGGCGGCGCCGGAGGCGCCGCCAGGGGGCCAAGCGCCGATCCAAGAAGTCCGTGCGGACTTCAGAGAAATTATGTTCACGCAGTTTGCTACTGTTCGAGTTAAAGCAGAAGGCGGACTTCGGAGCGGGCGCTCGAGTTAGGGATACCCCGAGTTTCGCAACAACGTCGAGCTGCTGCCATACGTAAATGGATGAGCAGAATCAACACCAATGGTGCACCGCCGTGGCAGGCCCATCAGCGCGTTACTGTTGAAGAAGCACCAAGCGCGACTTTGGAAACACGGTACATCTGCTACTATCGGGTCGGACAAGGGGGGGAGAGTCAAGCTAGATGCGCTCGCGCCTTATCTGAAATCCTATCACCCTCCAATTCCTTCCCCTGGCGCTGGCATTTTATTTTCGCGGGCGAGTGTCATGAGATTCACACAGGAAGACCACTTCGTGTGATGCGCAGTCGGAAAAACACAGGAGCTGCGTGCACAAGAGGAGGCGGCGGGTGAGCAGGGGGATGAGCGGGAGGAAAAGGATGAGGACGAACAGCAGCGGCAGGAACTGGAGCAGAAGGTAATTGCGGGAGGGGAAGGAGGACCTGGAGAAGGCGGAGGAGCAGAAATGAGGGGGTGATAACGACGAATAAAGACTCGGACTCAGAAAAGTTGCTCTCGCTGGGGCCGAGACGAACAGCAGCAGCAGGAACTGGAGTGGACGGAGCGGGGGGAACAGGAAGACTAGGGGAAGGCGGAGGAGGGGAAATGAAGGGGGGACCAAATTGAAGCAAGACCCAGATCCAGAAAAGCTGCCCGGGCTGGGGCGAGAGCGGCATTGTGATCGACGGGAGCAAAGGGTCGATCCGAAAATGAGGCCATATGGTACGCTGCAGCGGGAGCACCATTTTGAAGAACCGGATACAACTGGATAGTGAAAGGCCCACATAAACCGTTCTTGGTTGAAGCCATGTGTGTTTTTAAATAAATGTATATACATATACATATATATATGTGTATGTATGTATGTATGTATGTATGTATGTATGTATGTATGTATATGCTTATATACAAAACTGCACGCGGAGGGGGCGGGAGATCATCTGGACAACTCCAGGGAAGAAGGGAGAGTAGTATTCATGCCTGTCTTGGTAGAGCTGCGCGCTAACTCCCAGGCAGCACAGGACCGAACGAGGGCCCGAAAAAGACGAACGAGCGAAGGCCAGAGGAATGGCACAACGGCGCCGGGACAGCGACCAGGCGAAACACCGAGTCGGCGACTACAATGGGTGCGGTTTGCGAAAGGTGCGGGTTGCCTCCCGTCATACCTGCCCCTCCCGCCCCCGGGAAACGGATGACACTGTCACTCAATGCGACCGAATCACATGACACTGTCGCTCCTTGAAGTACAGTGGAGCACACATCGAGGATGACAGTGTCGCTCGAAACGACGACAGTTGTGACATTGTCTCTCACAAAGGCCCTGGAAAGGCCGCCACAGAGCAACTCGCAAACCGCACCCCGGCGTAACCGCATCGAATGTAGTCGCCGAACCGAGGCCCGCTGTCTAATTGCAAAGAGGGTCATCGATACCGGCCCACGCAGCTGGCTGGTTCTCCCGGCGCCTCCCGGCGCCGCAGGCGCCAGTGTATCGAAGGGAGCGCTCGGCGGCGGGGCCAGAACCAGCTGTGTGCAGCAGATGCCTCCCCACTTCACCCGACCCGATACCATGATCAGGTCGGGCATGTCCCCCGACAGACGGATGTCGGACGAAAAATTTACGATTATCAAAAAATGCTCCAAAAATAACCAACACATGTGCAAAGCAGTAGTCCCCAGACGATTCACTGTTTGGAAATCTTCCTCCTGCAGAGGGACAGGCCCGACTCGATACCACGCCTGGGGGGGCAACGAACCTGTCGCTGGCACGCCGCCGTGAGGAGCCCGGCAGCGCGCCACGTTTGCAGAGGCACTGCGCTTTCGGACAGGCGCGACGGAGCACCGCGCGGGCGGGCTCCCCACGGCGGCGTGCCGCTGAGATTCTTCATTGAATGAGGCACTGAGGCCCTGGGACACACACATAAATACACACAAATAACAAGATTCCCCTTATGTTCCTATATTTTCTTGGTTTTTGTCCTCCTCCCCACTTCCCATATTTCCCCATATTTTCCTGGGGATCGACGATTAATTGTGTCTGTGTGTTTTTGTTCCCTCCTGTTTCATCTCCCTCCCGAACAGAACTAGCTTATTCAGGAACGAAGGCCCCTTGAGCCCATGGAGCGACCCAAGGAACATCGGCACCCTTCAAAACCCGAACTGGCTCTGATTCCAGCGTCGTGACCGTATGGAAAGAGGGCGCCTATACTGTCGGACAGGCTGGTTATGGGTGTTCGTTCAAGGGGGGGTCAGCGCACTGAGGATAAAGACAAGTGCACCCTCCATGCATTTTTGGGACCGCGGTGCCAGTTCAGGGGCCCTCCTGGGCCCCTGGGGCCTCTCTTCTCCCACATTTGTTGCCTCCTCGTTGCCGCCCGTCCGATGCCGCAGATGCACGAGACAAAGATACCGGGTGTCGTAGTGAAGCGCCAGGCGCGCGCCACCCCCGCCGGCAACCCTAAACCGCCGTTGCGCCGGATGCGATGCAACCCCTCGCGCGGCGCGCTGACTCGGCGAGGTCGATGTCAGTCATGGGCAACGAGGAGACACGTTCGGTCGCAGCGCCGGCGGTGGCACGGCGAGGTCGAGGCCTACGCGGGGTCGCCGCAAGGCGGACTGTACGCAAGAGGGCGGGAGGCAGCAGAGGGCGGCCACGAAGGGGGGGACAACAAGAGACAGAAAGAGAGAGAGAGAGAGAGGCGGCGCACTCAGGCCATGAAGGTCTCCGGGAGCTGCGACGAAGAAACATGGCATTACGCAAGGTGGCATGACGACGTCGCGCGGTGGCCTGCGGCACCCCACGGTGGGGAGGAGGGCGCTCGCGCGTGGCTTCACGCGGGAGGCCTGCGCGAGAATGCCTGCGCGGTCGACCGTTGGCTGCTTGCGCCGCCCACTCGCAACACCATGCGCCCCCGCCCCCGCAACAGCGCCCGGCAGAGAGTGGAACCTCTGCCTCTCGAGTGGGGGATCGACTACACAGTTGATTTGCACCAGGACTGCTTCGCTCGTCGAATCTACAAGCGCATACACGTGGAATGGTCGTAGATCCACACATATTCGAAGCACTCTTCATGGATAAGACGAAACATAGATCGAGTCTGTCGTCGGCCCCCTACTCGAGCCTGTCGCCACTGGAACGCTGCTCCACAGGTTTTGAGCAGAGACCGACCGTCCAGGCATTCCTATAGGCCTACCACGACATGTTCTTAGAACCCAAAAATGATCTAGGAATAAAAACCGTGTTCTCAGACAATAAACCCGATGTGTTGAAACAAGACAGCCCCAGCCAGAATTGTTCTAAGAACAAATTTCGTGGAAACCACAAAAAAAGGTTTTTAGAACATTGCTTGGTAAGCCTATTGGCACGCCAGAGCGCTTCTCGGGAGCGGCCAAGAGGGGGGTGTCCAAGAGAGGGGGGTGCAAATCATGACCGGCGGCAGGTGCGCGGCCCAGCGGGGGGGCCAGGGACGTAATGAAATAAGACGAGGCGCCATGAAATCTGGGGAAATATCATGGCCCCCGCCATGATATCCACCCCCCCTAAGTCATCACTCCCCTCTTTGCCGCCCCCGAGCTTCGGCACTGCTTGAAGGTGGGCGCCCGACGCCGCCGGGCTCCGGCCGTGCACGGCCGTGCACGGCCTCTGCCGGGCGCCCGGCGCCTGGCACGGGCGGCTTCGTGCCGCCTCGGCGCAGGGCGGCGCCGCTTCCGCGCGAGGCTCACGGCCGCGCTCCTCGGCCTCGCTCTCTACCTCTCCTTTTGTGGATGCCCTGACAATGGGCACTCGAACAATCCTATCATTGACTTAAACATGTGTTCAAAATGTGTAAAACACGTTCTGAAAATATGTCAAACATGCTTTTACACATTGAAACCATGGTTGACATGTTTAAAGACGTCTAGAAATTAGTTGGCAGCATGCTTCCTTTCCATTAATCGACTTCCACAACTCTCTTTGGGTGGCCCAAAACTGAAAGGGGGTGGTGCAATAGATTTGGGGCAATTGTATTGCACGTGTGTTGCGCCGGAGAACTGTACTTCATTGTGTTGCAAGTAACGCGTCGCGCGCGAAAGTGCAACAAAGACATCTGCGCCCCGGCAGGTATTGCACGCCCCCGATGTATTGCAACCCCACAAAACTGGTGCACCAAATCCATTGCACCACCCCCTTGTCGCTGGACCCCCTTTTGGGTCAGGCCGACTCTCCCTCTCCCGTCACCAGCGACAAGCACATCCCTGTCCCCTGCCTCGCGCTCTGCATGCCGGGGTACGATCCGGTGGAGGCACGATCCGATGGGTACGGCTCCGCGCGGGGCATCCGCGCAGGGCCGCCAGGGGGGTCGCGGCCGAGGAACCTGGACCGCAGGCCCGCAGTCGTGGATGTCGGATGCTCGTTCCAGGCACCTTCCTGGAGGCACTCGCTTCACACGTGCGTCGATGCTGCAATGAACATCCACCGACTCGAGGCAAGCTCGAGTCGAACTCGGGTCGAATTAACATCGAACTAGAGTGGAAGAGATCCGCTAGGTGGGCCCAGGGAAATTATACCAGATCCGGCATTAATTTAAGCGTTGTGCCAACTAGAGTTCTCGCAGCGATCGGCTAATGTATCCATCATCTCTGAAACTGATGTCACGTACACGCGTCCTTTCAGCGTGGACGATCTCTGGGTCCCGGAGCGGATTCGGCCGGACATAGGTGCGCCATGGGCCATCCCAACGGACGGGCCGCCCTGCTTGGGCCTGCGTGCCTGTCCTGCCCGCGAAGACGGATGCGCCCCTGGGCAAGCGCATGACACGGAAGTCTCGCATCCGCTTGTCGTAACGTGCCGTGCCCAACTCACACGCGAGCGAATTATGAGATCACTCCACAAAAAAACGGCACTGGCTGGGGCTGGCGTGTGCTCGCATCGCTGTCTCCTCCGTTCGCGGCCACTGCAACGAACTCCTGGCAACCGTCTTGTTGTGCTGGGCGGCCCATGACTCCGATGCTGTTGCGACTACTGCCCAACGTGCCGCTCTGCAGGCGATGATCCCACTTGAGTGAAGGGGCCCTGGGACACACACACACATAAATACACACAAATAACAAGATTCCCCTTATGTTCCTATATTTTCTGGATGTTTGTCCTCCCCCCCACTTCCCATATCTTCCCATATTTCCTGGACATCGACGATTAATTGTGTCTGTATGTGTGTTTTCCCCTGCTGATTGAGATTGAATGCCACAGCTGGAACAGTACAGCTATCGGCACGCGCAGGCTCAGGAGCACCCCCGGGTTGGCCGAGAACGCTCCCCAGGCAGACTGCCCTGTGGACGTCGCGCACTGCGAGGCCGCGCCGTTGCAAGATGGATGCGCGCCCCGCCCCAAGACGATGCCAGGACGAGGACGACATCGGGTGGGGATAACTCGAGAATCTCGGAGGTCTGGCGGCCGTGGAAGATCTCTCGGGCGCCGCGGCCTCCTCAGCGCGCTCCGCAACGCCCCGAGAGCGTTCCGGGACGCTCTGGAACGGGCTCGTCCTCGTCCTAGTCCCGTCCGGCTTCGGCCCGAGAACGGCCCCAAGGTGAAGGACGAGGACGAGGAGGAGGAGGAGGACGAGGAGGAGGAGGTGGGGGAGGTGGAGGAGGTGGAGAAGGAGAAGGTGGTATTCAAGCCCATCACCAGGGGCCGAATCCGAGGAAACAACTCCCGGACTGCAAAAGGTCATCTCGTCGGAGATCTGGGCTCCGCGCTGGCCCCGGCGCGGTGCCGGAGCCGCATGGGGTGGAGGCGCGGAGCCGGCGCGGAGGGAGGGAGGGAGAGGAGCAAAGGCCGGCGCGGAGGGAGGGAGGGAGGAGCGGAGGTGAGGGAGGAGGAGAGTGAGGAGGAGGAGGGGAGGAGGAGAGGAGGAGGAGGAGGAGGAGGAGGAGGAGGAGGCAGGAGGAGGAGGAGGAGAGGAGGAGGAGGAGGAGACGAGGAGGAGGAGGAGGAGAGGAGGAGGGGAAAGGAGGGAGAGGAGGAGGAGGAGGAGGAGGAGGAGGAGGAGGAGGTTGAGGAGGAGGTTGAGGAGGAGGAGGGGAGGTTGAGGAGGAGGAGGAGGAGGAGGAGGAGGAGGAGGAGGAGGAGGAGGAGGAGGAGGAGGAGAAGAAGGAGCAGGAGGAGGAGGGGAGGGGGAGGGGAGGGGAGGAGGAGGAGGAGGAGGAGGAGGAGGGGGAGGAGGAGGAGGAGGAGGAGGAGGAGGAGGAGGAGGAGGAGGAGGAGGAGGGAGGAGGAGGAGGAGGAGGAGGAGGAGGGGGAAGCAGAGGAGGAGGGAAGAGGGAGGAACGGAGAGCCAGAGAGGGCGTGGCGGCCTCGGCTCCTGCATGCTCAGGGCGAGGGCAGCCTCGCCCCGTGCGCGCGCGCGGCGGGCGGGTGTCTGACGGCAGCGGCGGCGCCAGTGACCTGCGCAGCGCATACCTCACGAGCGGCGGACGTGTCCGCGTCCGCGTCCGCGCGGTGTGGATTCCGGGGCGCGATCCCCCGGATATGCGCGGTCGCACGGATGCGCTCCGCGCGGGGCATGCGCGACAGGCGCGCTCCGCATCCGCGGGAATGCGGCCCGGGGGCCCGGACCGCGAGGCCGCGGATACGGACAGATTTTTCCGGCCACGAGGACCAAGTGAGTGGCGCGAAGGGGGGTCTTCTCAGACGGCGGGGGAGCCTCTAAGAAGACCCGGGGCCCTCTGATAAACCCTCCCAGTTTCCAATGGGGCTTCGTAAGAGCCCGCAGGCCCTTCTAAGAGTAAGAAGCCCCCTGCTTTCCTAGAAGCCCCCCCCCCCCGCGCCGCCCCCTTGTTAGCGCCGCCCACACAACGACTCGATCAACCCAAGCAGCAAAACTGGCACAAGTGCCATGCGGCCGCGAAGGTACGGAACAATGCTGTGAGACTGGAGAGAGATCTTGATAAGGAGAGCTAGATCGCGGCAGGCTACGAGGCACGAGAAGCTTTTGCAGACGCGAACAACAATAACTGCACTTGCCCCCAGCCGGGTCTCCTCTGTCGAGAGGGGCAGAGAAGCATGACACACCGATGAGGGCAGAGAGGACAATGTTCAGGAGAATGGCGATGACGACCAAGATGGCGACAATAAACATAATGCGGGTGACCATGACAGTGATGCTGATGTTGCCGATGATAATGGCTCTATGGACTTGTGTGCGAGCCTAGGCGCTCACAACGACGGCCGCTATGATGCCAGAAGTGTTGTGCTGGATGGCGGCGGCGGTCGGCATCGGAGGAGTGCAGAAGAACACCAGGCGGTGCGCAGTCGGGACCTCATGCGTGCAGCATAATAAAGGCAAGAGCAGAGGAGTCGGCTAGTACACAGTTGCGCGCATTAGCACTACTCGTGGGACAAACTTGGCGCCAACGTCGTCCAGGTGCTCGTGTCTTCTCCGCTGCTCCGGGCCGGGCCGCGAGCGCCGACCCGAGCAAATCATGCAACTGCCACTGGAACCGCGCGCGGGCGCCATGCGCGCGCGCTCGGGTTCGAGTCGCCTCCGAAGACGTTGTCCATAGGCACTGCGTGGAGCCCTGACGCCTGCGGAAAGGGACCCAGGCGTGGATCCCGTCTCCCGCGCGGGGGTGCGGGGCCTCCTGGGGAGTGGCTCGGGGCTCTGGGGGCGAGCGGAGCGCCGCGGGGCGGGTCGGCCGAGGAGGGCCCCCAGAGGCTCCCAAATGGCTCGAAGACAGCCCGAAGACGGGCACAAACAGAGGACAAAGAGAATCCACGCCTGACACAGGGCTCTTTTCTGTTCCCTGCCCCTTCCTACGAATCCCTTGTTCCATCCTTCTCCCTCCCCCTTGCATCCGTCCTCTCCTCCCCTGTGGTAAAGGGCTGCGCTAGATGCACGTGGCAAACAAGGAAGACATACCCCCAAGAGGGTAGGATCGAAAACAAACAGGCCGGGTGCCGAGAGTTTGGGATATGCGTGTTGAGTGGCACGCGAGTAGGTTAGAGAGAACAGTCTCAAACTGACTACTGTAGTTGAATTCTTATCTCCATGCAACAATTATCGTTGCTTTTCCTCCAGTAACTGTTACATGCTTCAACTGAAATGCCCCCCTCTCGGTGCTCGCACCCTTGTTTCTCAGGGGGAGATCGGTGCCACCAGACTGCGTTGTTGGACCCCGGGTTACAACAACAACGGCTCCCGCCTGATACTTCCTCACAATGTATTCCAACATCGCGTTCTCTTGCGGGACGTCATCACACGTTATGCAAGAATCGCGCTCTCGCGTGGGACGCCCTCGCAATGTATTCTGACGCCGCGCTTTCGACACTCAGGAATCACGCTCGCGATATGGCATGTCTCTCTATTTTGGGGAATCGCGCTATCGCTCGAGCGATCCTTATGACCCATACAGTACTCCTCACGCTCCATCGCCACGCCTTCGCGTCCTGGCCGCTTGGGCCCGCCTTCCCGACCCGCCATGCAGGGTCTACACGCCCGATGGGCCCGTCTGGTTCTGCCTCGTGTTCCATGCTCCTGGCCACCCCTCCTGCCCATCCCGTGCTCCATCCTCTCCCCTCCCCCATGCCGTCCGTCCTCGCATCCCCTGTTCCAGGGGCCGCACCAATTACACGCAGCAAGTACGGAAGATAACCCCCCGGGGGGGGGGGGGGCACGATCGAAGACGAAAAGGGGGGGCACCGATGGTTTGGAATATACGTGTTGAGTGGCACGCGCGCAGATAGGAGCGAAAAGTCTTAAGATGAGTGGTGTTGCTGTTGTTGGTGATGTTAGTGGTGGTTTTGCTGTTGTTGTTGTGTTTGATGTTGGTGTTCTTGTTGCTGTTGAGTTCTCACTTCTAACGAAGAAGTGATGTCAATCCCCCCTGCCCGGAAACCATGGTAGCTTGTTCAATGTAAGTGATTATCCCGGGGCTCGCGCCCGGTTTCTGGCAAGGGCAAACAAGGTGTCACCAAACTGGGTTGCTGGGCCCCGAGCTACAACAGCAACGGCTCCCGCCGAATACTTCCCCACAATGGATTCCAACATCGCGTTCTCTCGCGGGACGTCCTCACAGTGAATACAGGAATCACGCTGTCGCGTGAAACTTCCTCGCAATGTATTCAGACGCCGCGCCTTCGACACCCAGGAATCACGCTCTCGCTGTGGATTTCCCAACGATGTATTTGGGAACCGCGCTATCGCTCGAGACCTCATCGCAATTCACGCAGGACGCACGCTTCAGCAACCCGCCTGCTCGACCTGGCCGCCTGGGCCCGCCTTCCCGGCCCGCCCGTTTGGGTCTACCCGCCCGATCTGACCGTCTGGTTATGCCACGTGTTTTCTGCTCCTTGACCCCCTCCTGCTACTCTCTCTCGTGCTCCATCCTCCTCCATCCCCTTTGTCCCTTCTTTCCGTCCGTCCTTTCTTCCGATACCTTAGGGGCTGCACGAAATACATGTTGCAGGTAAGAAAGATATTCTATACCCGCAAGAAGGCACGATCGAGGACGAAGAGGGCGGACATCGAGGTTGGGTTTTACGTGTTGAATGGCCCGCGAGCAAATAAGAACGATCAGTCTTGAAATGAGTGTTGCTGTTGTTGCTGGTGGTGTTGGCGTTGTTGCTTTGCTGTTAATGTTGTTGTTGGTGTTGTTGTTGGTGGTGGTGTTGCTGTTGGTGTTGCTGTTGTTGTCGCTGTTGTTGTTGTTCATGCTGTGGTGCTTGGTGCTGTTGTTGGTCATGCTGTGGTTGTTGAGGTTGTTGTTGTCGCTGTTGCTGTTGCTGTTGCTGCTGGTGTTGCCCGCGTCCTCGCCCACCCCCCTCCCCCGCGACCCCCCCGCGACGCACTCTGCGACCCACCCGCGACGCCACCCGCGCCCCGGCCCCTCACTACTGTCCGCAGCTGAGGGGTGCTAAACGAACTTTAAGTCGGGCGTGTCCCCCTACAGGGGGATCTTGGGCGAAACAAATTACCCCAGTGCGACCCTACCTAGAAGTTGGAGCCCCTAGGAACGCAGCAGTAGTTGCTAGGATGTGCTATGCTATGCTATGCTATGATATGCCATGCTATGCTACGCTATGCTATGCTATGCTGCGCTATGCTATGCTATGCTATGCTATGCTAAGCTATGATATGTCATGCTGCGCTGTGCCATGCTGCGCTATGCTATGCTATGCTAAGTTATGCTAAGCTGCGCCATGCTATGGTATGATATGATATGTTATGCTGCGTTATGCTATGCTATGCTATGCTATGCTATGCTATGCTAGGCTGTGCTATGCTTGGCCATGCTGCGCTGTGCTATGATGTGATGTGTTTGCTATGCGATGCTGCGCTATGCTGTGCTATGCTGGGCTATGCTATGATATGCTGTGCTGCGCTGTGCTGTGCTACGTTCTGCTATGCTATGCTGTGTTCTCCTATGCCAAAGCTCGGCGAAACTAAGATGAAGGTAAGCTACGCTAAGAGAAACCTGAGCTAAGATGAAGCTAAGGTAAGCTAAGATGAAATAAGCTAAGCTAAGATGAGATAAGCAACGCTAAGCTAAGGGAACGTCACTGGGGGAACCGCGGGGCGGATCCTGGGGGAACCGCCCGGGGCGGGGAGCACTGCCCGGCCCTTTAAGCATACAGGGTAAGAACCCTTCTAGGCAGAGCCTAGGTAGGGAAAAATGAAGAACACTCAGAAAGTACCCCCCAAACGCTCAAAAATAATCCAAAAAACGTCCCCAGGCTATTTTCTGACTGTTGTTGGATATTCCCCCTGCAGAGGGACACGCCCGACTGAAAACGAAGCCTCCGCGGCAGAGCGCGCCGCGGCCAGGGGCGCCGCCCGCCTCCAGGCTCTCCCTCCACTTGGCCTCCCGCTGGCGGTTCTTCTCCTCCTCCTCGGGGGCGGAGCAGTGGGCAAGGGCACTCGGGCTGCGGTTGCTGGGAGGCGACTGCTGGGAGGTCTTCCTCGGAAAGAGCAAAGAAGATCAAGCCCCAGTGGGGGGTTCCCTTACGCCGGAGTGGGCCTCGGATTCAGCGGGATCGAGCCGGATGGAACGGGATTAAGCGGGATCGAGACGGATTAAGCAGGATTCCAGGATTAAGCCGGATTAAGCCGGACTTAGGGCACAATCAGAATTTGACCTCCCAGGAGTTGCATCCGGAGCTACGGCGCCCAGCAACCTTCTCGCCCCGTGTCAGGTCCCTCCCAGGGAGGGACAGGGACCCTGTCCCTCCGGCGTGTTTCGCAGCTGGGCTGCCCCAGGGAGCCCTGCGGCGTTCATCCCTCGCTTCGCCCCAACTCGGCAGCACGGGTGCCCCATCGCTCGCATCTGTAACTGACTGCGGGGCATGCGCGATACTGAAAAAATGGAGAGAAGGAGAGCGAGCGAGAGAGCGAGAGAGATGCAATTTCCTTCCTGTGCGCTACCAAACTATGCGTTTACCAGCTTCGCTCGACCCGCGGGCTCCAGCGGGTCGGCGAAGGGGGCGTGAGCGCGCCGACCCGGTGCTCGAGACCAGCTCCAGGGTAACGGGAAGGCCCAACTTGGGAGCACCGCGCGTCCCGTCTTGCGGTCAAAGTCGTCGCCCGCGCCCGCAGCCGATGCAGCCATCGTGCTACCACGAGGAGCGCTGGCCAAGGAACGCAGGAGCGTTCCTGGCATCGGCGAACCTCGGCCACGAATGCCTTCCGCGGCCTAGATCTGAGGCACGATCCGGAAACCAGAGCCGCCCTCGAACCCCAAATGGTCCCTAGCTCAACGAGTCGGCCCTATCGGGTTGTTCCTGGCGACGTGCGCCGCAGTACGACGCCGACGACAAAGAGAACGAAAACGATGATTGGATTGGATTGGAGCTCCTCGAGTCCTGTGGTTTGGCAGCTGCTGCGCCGCACAACTGATCGACACACCTGCTACAGGAATGACACTTTCTCTGTGGGCAAGAGTAACGTGACTGGTGGACCCCCTGCCAAGCTTACCCATCGGTCGAGAGAACGAGGTCGACACATCATGTAAAAAAAGGCGTTGGAAGTAAGTCTGGATCCCCGCCCGCCCCCTGAAAAGAAGGAAAGAGCGAAACCCGCTCGTCGCTCGAGGTCGGGATGTGCCTAAAACGTAGACGTGGAGCTGGGCATCCAACAAGGAGGAGGAGGAGGAGGAGGAGGAGGAGGAGTGAGGGAGGAGGAGGGGGGAGTGGGAACCCAACAAATGCACACCTTCCCACGACCAGTGGGAACCGCTGGTCCGCGCCCCCAGAGCGGGAGGAGCCCCCCCCTCCCCCCCCGCATGCGCGACAGAGCCGGCCTGGAAACGCGGACGTCATGGAGGCCACTTCGCAGCAAGTTTTCGCACTGCTCCTCCTCCTGCTCCTCCTCGTCCTCCTCGTCCTCCTCCTCCTCCTCGTCCTTCTCCTCCTCGTCCTCCTCTCTCTCTTTCTCTCCCTCCTCTCCTCCTACTCCTCCCCCGCGAGCAGAGCGTCTGTCGTCTTCGCTCGAGCGCAGACCGACGCGCGGCCTGGCAGTGAACGTGGAGTCGTGGAGGGGGACGACAGCCGCTGCGGCAGGAGGTCCGGGTCACCCCCTGCTCGGGGGAGATGCGATGCTTCTGGCTTTCGTGCTGTGCGCCTGGGGTGGGGTGCTGGCGCGATATCGGACTGTTGGGGTGCAGCATGGTCGTTGATGGTTTGTGTCGAGGTCCCAAACATAGCCTTCTGGAGCGATTCAGGATCGTCAAGCCGCAACAATAGCAGTGTCTCGCAGCGTTGAAATCCCAAGAATGGTGTTCTGGTACAGCCTTCCAACGGGGCACTCCCCTCGGTGAACATGAAGAGATGGTCCATTGAAGGGATGGTCGATTGCAATATCGTTGATGAGGTTGGGGTTTCCGCTAGTCCTCCTTCTTCTCCTCCTCCTCCTCCTCCTCCTCCTCCTGGGGGGGGGGCTCTCACATGCATTGCAGCGAGTCGATACGGCAAGAAAACAAAGGCAACATCAAACAACCAAGAACGAACGAAGAATAACAAACATCAAAAACACACACACACGCGAAATACGGAAAACAATGCAAAACGACACAGGCGGCCAACCAAACCCTTAGCCCCTGCTACTACTGGACATATTACTGCGGCTACTACGACTACTACCACTATTACCACACCTACTACTACTACTACTACTACTACTACTACTACGACTACTACTACTAATACCACGCCTACTACTAATACCGCGACGACAACTACTAGTACAACGACTACTACGACGACCACGGCTACTACTATTGTTCGTACAACTGCTACTCCTTCTGCTACTCCGACTACTACTACTACTACTACTACTACTACTACTACTGCTACTACTACTACTACTACTACTACTACTACTACTACTACTACTACGCCTACGCCTACGACTACCACTACGATTCCGACTACATCAACGACTACGACTACGACGAGTACGACTACTACGACTACTACTACTACTACTACTACTACTACTACTACTACTACTACTACTACTACTACTACTACTACTACGACTACTACTCATCCTACTACTACTACTACTACTACTACTACTACTACTACTACTACTACTACTAATAATACTAATACTATTACTGGCGACTACTACTGCGACTACGACGACTACTCCTACTAGTGCGATTCCAGCTGCCACTACTACTACTACTACTACTACTACTACTACTACTACGACGACTACGATGACTACTACTACTACTACTACTACTACTACTACTACTACTACTACTACTACTACGACTGCTACTACGAGAACAGCTACCACTACGACTACGACTACTACTACTACTACTACTACTACTACTACTACTACTACTACTACTACTACTACGGCGACTGCTCTACTACTACTACTAACTACTACTGCTACTACCACTACTACTACTACTACTACTACTACTATACTACTACTACTACAACTACAACTAAACTACACTACTACTACTTACTACTACTACTACGAGGGCTACAACTACTACAAATACAGTTTTACTACTACTACTACTACTACAACTACTACTACTACTACTACTACTACTACTACTACTACTACTACTACTACTACGGCTACGACTACGACTACGACTACGACTACGACTACGACTACGACTACTACTACTACTACTACTACTACTACTAATACTACTACTTGGACGTCTTCTTCTACCGCTACTACTACTACTACTACTACTACTGCTACTACTACTACTACTACTCCTACTACTACGACTACTACTACACACTACTACTACACACACTACAACATATACTACTGCTATTACTACTACTGCTACTACTACTACTACTACTACTACTACTACTACTACTACTACGACTACTACTACTACTACTACTACTACTACTACTACTACTTCTACTACTACTACTGCTACTACTACTGCTACTGCTACTGCTACTGCTACTACTACTACTACTACTACTACCACTACTACTACCACCACTTCTACTACTACTACGACGGCTACGACACGGCTACGACGACGACGACTACGACTACTACTACGACTACTACTACTACTACTACTACTACTACTACTACTACCACTACTACTACTACTACTACTACTACTACTACTACTACTACTACTACTACGACCATTGCTACTACTACGACTTCGGCTACGACTGCTACTACAACTATCCGCCGGCCCCCTTGTGGGGCCACGAGGCTGTAGGCACGTGATTCGCAGTTTCCTGTACCAGTTGTAGCTTGTAGTTTCCAGTGTTACAGTTCTGCTTCTTGCTGGTTACTGTAACTAGTTGATTCTTGCTGGTTACTGTAACTAGTTGATTGACCGCGCGAGGGGGGGGGAGGCCCAAACAGGACTTTTTAGCACCCCCTGGGCGCGTTGTCTGAATTGCTGGGGGGGCTCGAAATCGACACCCCTCACGCAGATCCGCGGGGTCAGGGTCCAAAAACACAAGGGAGTTGCCACATTTCTGAAACTCCGTGCAACCCCTCACGCAGATCCGCGGGGTCAGGGTCCAAAAACACAGGGAATTTGCGACATTTCTAAAATTCGGTGCCACCCCTCACGCAGATCCGCAGGGTCAGGGTCCAAAAACACAAGGGATTTGCCACATTTCTGAAATTTGGTGCCACCCCTCACGCAGATCCGTGGGGTCAGGGTCCAAAAACACAAAGGATTTGCCACATTTCTGAAATTCGGTGCTACCCCTCACGCAGATCCGTGGGGTCAGGGTCCAAAAACACAAAGGATTTGCTACATTTCTGAAATTCGGTGCCACCCCTCACGCAGATCCGCGGGGTCAGGGTCCAAAAACACAGGGGAGTTGCCACATTTCTGAAATTCGGTGCCACCCCTCACGCAGATCCGCGGGGTCAGGGTCCAAAAACACAGGGGATTTGCCACATTTCTGAAATTCGGTGCCACCCCTCACGCACATCCATCGCAAGGCGTGGTAACCCAAACTGCGAGTACTCCCTCGGCCCTTTAATCCCAAGGTGTGGTAACCAAGCTCGTAAACCATACACGTCTTACCAATCGCCCTGTGTGGTAACCCCTCTTGTGATCAGTTGGTTTTGCCGATTGCGAATCGGCCTCGCATGAAGTTCCGATACTGCTGCACGACAGCGCCAAGGCCTCATGACTTAGCTCTTCCATGGCCCATTCTCTACGAGAGAGACTACTACTCCTACTACTACTACTACGACTACGACTACTACCAACTACTACTACTACTACTACGACTACTACTACTACTACTACTACTACTACTACTACTACTACTACTACTACTACTACTACTACTACTACTACTACGACTACTACTACTACTACTACTACGACTACGACTTACGACTACTACT